GTGATGATGGTGGTCTGCTCAATTTTTTCCATGAATATATTGGTCAGACTTTATGACATGAGAGATGCCATTGACTTAGATGACACACAAGTAAGCAGAATGCATGACATTTGTCTGGTGTGGGGTCTGTAGTATCCTTGTGTGTAGGGTCCGGTTAAAGTCTTTCTATTCACGATACTACAGGTCAACTGGCGCTGAGTATGTTGATAAAGAGAGAAATGACTCCCGAGCAGACTACTCTGACAGCGTTTGACTGGAGCGTGAGGTCTGAGGTGAAGATGGCAAACTCTCAGAATTCTTGATGCGGTGTTTGGTGTTGCTAACTAGTGGATGAAGCATTTTGGTGAGGTGTATGGCTGTGTTGTGCGTGGGGTCCCCTTTGGAGGCCTTCACGGAGTGCACTGAAGAATCCGGCTTTGTATCATCGGTTGTCTGAAAAAGATTAGGTATTTCGAGATGTTGGGTGGGAGTTGCCTGTACAAAGATTGTGGGATGTTGCCAGACCCCTGGAGGATGAACAGTTTCCCTTGGAACATCTTCTAGGTGGATGGTGGGGGTCCTTGCAAAAGGGACGGTATGAACCAAAGTCAAGAATATCCCACACCTTGCAGTTATTATAAAGTCTGCATTTGACTTAGTGGAGCTGGCCTTGTCATTTTAGAAGATGTGATTGGACTTGTCCTGACAAAGGGAGGTGATGGCTGCACGATCTTGTCTGTAGATTTGGGGATTGGCTGGCTAGTGTTCCCGGAGGGCTCGGTGGATCTGCAGGTGGACCTCGTCAGCGATGGACTTGTAAAGATGACAGCGGCTGAACTTGGTGCACTGGATGATCTCTTTGACTGCGATGATTGGAGGAATGGGGCGAAGTTAACCTAAGCCAACGACCGTGATCTCTGTAGGACACAAGAATCGGTGACTTTGCTGTCTTGGGAGTATATATATTTCGTTTGACCGTAGCACCCTCTATAGTTAGATTCCATGGCAACCAAAAATATTTTTTGAAAGACCTATTAATGAAGAATAAGTGTGCTGAGTTTGATTACGATCGGTCAAGGTCTGTTTAGGTTATGGCGTTTTGTTTCGTCCCCTTCCAACCCTAGTGCTAAGAAAATGCCTTCTAAGCTCAATCATAGGAAATTCCAAAGATTGGCCTCCTGAGAGAGAGCATCCCTAAATGTTCACTGTTAACACCTTTTTTTCCTATTGGGGACATGCCAAGGATCTTAAAAATATCGGTGGCAGTGGTTTCTGGGGGGTGGGGGTGCACTGGGACCCCCCTCCCCATAGGCCACGGACTAGAAGTCATGTGGCCCATCGCCATTTTGAAAAATGATGCCTGCGCTCCATCATTGCAAAATAGACCAATTTTAGGGCCCATTTGCATTCGAATTTCACACAATTACGAGCTCGCACTCTCCAAGGTGTGTATCTGCATCCATTACTTTTTAATGTGTCACATTCGGACATTTAATTTGATGAGAATTTACAAACAGTACAAATGATGTGAGCGAAACAACTTAGTGTGTTAAACCTGAAAAATACATTCCGAATGAATGGCATCGAATAATGACCAAAAAATAGCCTATTGTTGGGTGATAAGTCGCGATTTACTGATTTCATTATATTGAAATTCCGCCCAATAATTCTTCGTAATTCATTACACTCAGGAGTTTCTTTTCATGGGAGTTCGTCAAACAAGCAAGAAAATGAGATTGAAACATTAGTGTTTTAAACTTGAAAAATGTAATCCGAATGAGAGCAAAGTTCATGGCAAACAATTCATACTCCTTTTTGGGCAATAACCAAAGAAATCTCAAAGAAGTTCATTTGTTTCATTTTTTTTCCAAGTGCATTTTACCCAAACACTTTTTCCAGCAAAACTGTTCTGTCTTTCTTTTCGCACGGAGACAAATGTACCAAGCGGTTTAATACTATATTTTTTTTTCAATAGAGGGCGCGCTACATGCACAGTGGTCACCACTGCCTAAACAGCGTCAACACGGATGCCTCACTAGTATTGAGTAAAAAGAAGACACTCATAGTTCGGGCAATATCTCAAGATACCGAGGAGCTTTCGCCCGGAGCGATTTCTTGACAAAGGAGGAAGGTTTCAATCGCGTGATGAGCTCACACCATTTGGAATCGGTAAGCTTATAAAGTCTCAGGCTAGAATGAGTTTGATTATGTTTTGCTTCACTATTGCCTACAAGAACAACAAGCTGAGACGTTAATAAATAAAAGGCTGAAGAAAGAGTACGAACATAAATGCTCAGCTCTCGAACACTCTGGTGCAATATAATTGCACTGAGTTACCACAATTTGGGCGGGTGTTCAAATGTTAGACAAAAAGGAGAGCAATGAAAAAAGAGCTCCCTGAGAAGCATCTGAGAAGTTGATATCCGATAAACATGATAACTTATGTCAAAGTGACAAAATAGTTCTCGATATTAGACTGTGCGCGCAATTGACTCAGTCTAAAGAGAAACAAATGTCTATCACAAGTGTATTTTTATTTCACTCGGCAATTATTTGTATTTGAATCAAAACCCAGGTCGCCGCCTCTGTATTGGAGAGCACTTTGCGAGGCAAGAGCTCTTTTTCCTGTTTACACACCTGCTGCATCACTTTACTTTGAAGAACCCCGGCGACCCAACTCCGGTATCCTTCAAAGGAATCGATGGGATTGTGTGGGGACCGGAAGACTTTACCGTGTGCTTCATTGAAAGAAATTGAGTGAACGGTTGGTCTGAAATGTCAGCACGTCCCCACCGGCCACCGCCCATTCCTGGTGCTGGTAACCGCTTATCCCTTCCACAAACAAAATTGATCTGGTACACGGTACCCTCTGGAGACATGTGCACAATAGGAAACAGAAGATTGTATACATCTTCACAGGACACTTTATATAGGTGAATACGTCTCCACGAAGTTATCATACGTCTCCACGAGGATATAGGGATTTTACTCAAATAGGAATTTTCAAGGTATGTTGATCCGTCGCAAATTGAAGCATTTTATGTAGGCCTAAGGGATATTAAGTCCGAATTCCAGCCCAGGATATTAATTCTGGTTAAAATAGGAGCATTTTGAAAGTACACCTTCAAACTCGAAAATTTTAGTACACGATAACAAAGAAATGACTCCACAAGGATAAGACATTCAGTATGTCTGTGCAGATCACTTGTCAAAACATTTACATGTACTTGAATAAGACTTATCTTGAAAGAATGAGGGCGTTGTTTGTTTGTGTGGGTACAAACGCACGTATAATTCATAAATACCTAATACAATTCCCCTTTCCTACTGGTTGAGAGCCCGTTACGTGGCCGGTTTTAAACGGTTGATAAAGACATGGAAGACTGGTCTTAAACACACTAGTGTCACATAGTAGGACTACTATGCAATCCTGGCGTGTTTCCGTCCCGTTTAAGCCTGCCAGAATTTCCGCCAGCAGTCAGTAAGGCGTTAGTTGTCAGTAGGCCTAGTCAGATTCTAGTTTAGTTAGCCTGTGTAAATAGATCAGTGTATCCGCCTTATCCAGAGAGTAATTAGATCACAGTTAGTCACGTCTATAATCGAACTCCTTATTATGTAGCAGAATCGGCGTAATTCTGATCGTTCGCCAAATACCCGTTCATGTGCTTAGCAAGCATATCAATCTTTAGACGAGATATAGGCGTCGCCTAAGACTACCAAGGTGATCTGGTTTGTATTTAAAGAACAGTTACCTTTTTATGGACAATCGACAATGCACTCTCTCATATTTAACAAGATAATGTAATGTTTTAATTCGGGATTAATGTCCCATTTTAATTTTTTTATATATACATCGTCTGTTTTCATCCATGGTTTTAATTTTGTGTGGTTTTAATTCCTTGGGTTCTTTCATAGTAATGTATTCATTAAGTCTTTTATTGTGGTTTGTTTGTTTTTTTTTTTGAAATTTTTGCCGTTATTATATCATGTTTTTATGTAATCCAGGGCCCCCAGGGAGCACAGTTCATTGACAACTGATTGGGCTACCCTGGTAAATTAACATGAAATAAATAAATAAATAACAATTAAATAATCACTCCAAATAGACGTCTGGCTGTTGTATAGTTTGAGTGCTTTATTGTAGAAATATCAGACCGCAGTTCCATCCACTATCCCTGTGCCCCGCCCACGTACAACCCCTAGCTTAGTTGAATGCAACCCCGGAGACCCGTCCCCCTAGCCTCATCTACATCCGCTCGTTCGGGCGGCCGAGATCAGGCCTAGGCACCACCGACCGAGACCGGCACATTATCAAAAGTAATCTAATTAAATGTATTATTTGATTTGTCCGTAAACAAAGATGATTTCTTCTTAACAGAAGTCTCAAAATATCTTTTCTATTATTGCACATTCAATGACTTTGCCACCTTTTCAAACTATCCAGAAAATTTGTACCGAATATGGTAGCCTACATTTTAGGAACTTGGAAGAGAGCATAATTATTGTAAGTTTGATAATTGTATGTGAGATTACAGTTGTCATCTTTATTTTATTATCTGATTTGAAGTCGCTAACCTTTGGTTTGTTATTTTTTGCATATTTGCCAACATGTCCGTCTGCAATATCATTTTATTTCTGCGAAGTAATACATTTCCAGGACTGCTTCAATGTAGATATATTCCAATGCAGCACCGCCACACGTGTACAGGTTTTATAAGAGTGAAGGATGTGCGCCCCGTGGCAACCACTGGTAAACGTACCTAATAATGCAATGTTTTGCATAAGATCTAGAGTCACACCATCGGTGCGGGAGCTTCCAGGTTTTCATAATATGGCCCTATTTTTCTTTTCTAATTTCAGTTCGGTATCAGTTCATATTTTGTGTCATGTTTTTGGAAACTATAACACCAGAATCATATGAATTTGAGTACTGTGTTTAAATTTGGTTCACGAATCCCATATATCCTCCATAAGAGCAAAATAGAAACTCACCTTTTTCACTTCTTTTCCATTTTTTTTTAATTCACTTGTTTAATTCTAAAATCCATACCGATAACATTTTGGTGACCGACTACATGATCACTGCGGTGACCACAAGTTTACTTGTAATATCAAAATCTTGAAGCAAAATCACAAATCGATCGGACGGCTGACGTCATTTCAAATCGTATGATATATTAACTCAGTCACGTGATATGTTTCACGTATGCGTATTAAGGTAAATGACTTTGTGATCGGGAACCATTTAGGGCGGTCAATTCGATGATTAGTCGGATAGCCCTTGAGGGCGCTCTTGAATTAATTGTTGAGCAAGAAGAACGGCTGGTTAGTAGCCGGCGGGATATCCATGTTTACGTCTATCCGAGTGCGCCTGGATAGTCGGCCCGGGTCCACGGAGTATACCCTGGGCAGCTGCGAAGGACGAGGTGGAAACCATGTTGTGCCCCATTGCTTTCAGCCCTTTAACGAGATCCTGTAAACAATAACAAATGGCTTCATATAGAATTCACTTCGTAGCACTTCCGATCGGTTTCTCGTAACTTCAACCTCGAAAAAGGAACTCGTTAGCCTGGGATATTTCTTGTAATGTCCGTTCTCTTCAACAAATTTGTCGGGGTTATTTTCTCCAAATTTAAAATAATTGATGAGTCTTAAGTGAAAACCGGTTTTTGAACTGAAAATAAAAGAAACTCAAGTCATATCTCCCCTCACGGTAATGCGCTGGGGCAATGTAATTCTTACTCGAAATTTATTCGGACACTGATAACAATGGAGTACCGAAGTGAGACTTCATTTAGAACCAGACACATTGTAGCGCAACGAATGAAGTACGCGCACGTGTTGGTTCACGAGCTGAATCACCCGCTCAATGTCTTTTACACACATTTTGTGAGCGTGACGTATTCACTTCGGTACTCCATAAGGCCCCCTTTACACAGGGCTGCGACCTTTGTACCACCTATGAGCGACCCAAAAAATGGCCAGGACGCTCAATGGTTTCTATTTAACTGCTCCAGCGATCCTTTTGCCTCCATTGAAGCACCAAAACTGCAATTTGCGGGTATTTTCATGTCGAGTTACGAGCGACCTGTGCGTTAACTGAGCCACTTGCCTGCCTTACCTGTGCTTCCCCGCTGCAACCTTTGGCAACCAACGCCAAATGGAGGTACAGCGGTCACCACAGTCAACGTTCAATGCTTGCTATGCACGGAGGCACAAGGGAGGCAGAAGCATATCGCCCAAATTTACGGTCAAATTTGCAACAGAACGGATCAATTACATGGCGACCATTGGCCGACCATTGTGCATCCATTCTGCAACCACGGCAATGCTTGTGCCTCCCTTCTGCCTCATTTGAGCCACCTTTGAGCAACCAACCTTCTCGGCGATCTTTGTGCGACTGTTTTGAACATATTCAAAATTTGCGGCGACCATGGCGTCCATGGCGATGTCTGAACATCCTGTGTACCACCCTTGAACGACCTAGGCAACAATTATTTTGGCCTCCTCTGAGCCTCCAATGTTCAGCCACCTGGCCAGTGTTATGGTCGCACAAGGGAGGCCCAAAGGTCGCAGCCCTGTGAAAAAGGGGGTGTTAGGGCCATCAATCAATACAATCAGTAAAATCCGAGTACATGTCGCTTTAGTCTTTAAAAACGTCTATAGTGTGCAAATCATGATCGTAGCATATTACCTCAGGAAAGTCCTTTTCGTAGTAGGTACGGCTTAAAGAGGCACTTCGGTAGGGATACACCCTTGGAGAGTCGATCATATCTGACAGCGACTCGCTACCCCAGAGAGAACGCAGCAGCACCTGTTGGGTTGAGAATACAAACCAAACGGCACTTGAAATGAAGGTGCTTTAGACTCTATGCACATATGCCATCAGCGATCTAAAGAGAGAGATATAGGAAGACAACTGGGAGGGACATTCGGAGCCTTTGACATCCCCTAACGCGTAATGCAAAGAGGCCAGGGGCTTGTGCAGATTCACTTTTTGTGTATACTTTGCGCATGAAGTCTTTCTGTCAATGAGCTCTCGTGAGTCCTGGTGATGAAGTAACAACTCAGCACAGGTCATGCACGGAGTCCTGAGACAAGGTTACCAAGAGGTAAGGCTTCATAGAGAGAACGTTAGTATGTTATGAACAAAAGAACAAAACCAACAGAACAACTGGATAGTGATGTACTTGTTTATGCCCTGAAGACAATATGATTATGTGGACACTATATTAATTTAATACTGTAAAGTTAAGGAAAAACAACTAAACCGTATTGACAGAGACAGATTATCCGACGTTCCTGTGATCAATTAATCGAAACAATTCTGTTGACTTCAAAAATATTATTACCCCTGTGGGGACCTATTGATCGAGTAACTTAACAAGGTGCTTCATACGATTAAGTCTGTCTCACCCATGCATTCGTAGAAATAATTCTCATACCGCCCGAAGACCCAATGATTCCCAAGACTCCGTCCTCGTCAACGATGATAGAGGGGCTCATGGTAGACATTGCCCGGGCGCCCGGAGCCAGTCTGTTAGCCTCCCATGGCGGTGACCGGCCGTTGTAGTAAAGGTTACCCATGTGGCCATTGAGGAAGATTCCGGTCTGGTTGGAAAAGGTTCTACTACCAAAGCTAATACGATATAAGAGGGATTATACGATATAAGAGGGATTATACGTCTCACCTGGGTGAAGTTTACAACTGGTACGGATACTTAAACAGGTGAGTAAAGTTTAGAGGTTTTTGGTATAGCGAGCCAGTAGTGCTGTACTTTGATATATCAGGGAGCTAAGAGCACTCGCGTTAGAAATAATTTGCTATAACATGTGACAAATCTGGACAAAGTTGCGGACTCACTATCGACCTACTGATGTAGTCATCGACACAGCATCTCCGTGCTCAGAATAGACGCTCAAGTGACTTGTATCTCCATTCATTGTGTCCAAAGCTTCTCCCTCATCGGCTTGCTCTGGGGCTGGCGCTGCTCGGAAGGCATCGGGGAGGTCATTAAAAGTGTCGTAATCCTGACCGGAGGGATACGTCACGTGGGTTTCGTTGATCTTGGAACAGATCGTCTGGGCGTACTCTTTAGACGACAAGGCAGCAACAGACTGATGGGTAGAATTTACTATTTTGTTTCCTTCATAGTGTTAAGACAGACCATGCTTGTAAATTAAGAATTCAAGGATATTATATATGATTTCACCAGTATAGGCTTTCAATGCGCAAATCTGATCTTTTTTCCTATTCATCGAGTTCACGTACATTCCGAAAACAATCCCAGCTACCAGCTGATATCTCACAGGTATGTATACAATGATCGTGCCTTCCTTTACGGATACCGTACTGGGTGACGACACAACAAACGTGTACATGTAATACCCATGCAGGAATAAGCCAATACAAACCATAGACTGGACTGAGACAAGGGCGGATCCAGGGGGGGGGGCCAAAGGGGGCCATGGCCCCCCCCCAAAACGAAATCAATTTTTTTTTTTTTATGTGACATCGCAATAACGGCAGGCAATGAGTACACCACCATCTTTCCCTCAAAAAAAACATTGGTTAAAGTGGTCAGAAATTGCCTCAGATCGCACTACAGAGCATCTAGAATCCAAAAATTTTTCGGGGCCCTTCAGCGGGCCCCGAACCCCACGCCGTAATTTTTTTGACCCACTTTTTGGGGGGACCAAAAATTTTTTTGGCCCCCCCCAAAAATTGTGTTCTGGATCCGCCCTTGGACTGAGACCTACAATCGTTCCCAGTAACCTGTTACAAGGACACGCTAAGAAACAAAATGTACGCAGACAACATTGGAACAGTATAGTTTTTGAGGGGGGTAATATTGTTCATGATGCAATCGACAAGGCCATTTAAAATATATTTGAAACACGTTGCCATTTTCTTAAAAAAAAATCAGTCCTTATTAATACCTTTGCATTTTCTGCTTTGCCAAAATCTCCAATGTGCAGCCGCAGCCCAATAGCAAACGTGCTAGCCTCTATGAAATAGTGGTACATTTTCAATTTGCCCTCGTATGTGTCGAGGTTCACGCTAGCCAAGTTACATTCTGCAAAATGAAAAACGACAATTAAAATGTATTAAAAAAACCTCTAATTGTTGCACTTCTGCACCATAGGCCCTTACTCCTATTTCTGACCCACCCCCAAAATAATAATTAAAAAAAAACACCAATAAGCTGACTCTCTTTGCCATCCGCTTATACGAAAGCCAATGTTGTAGTATTACAGCTTATTGGGTCTAAAGAAATGACCATCGATAATTAAAGTGGGTATTCCGTTGGTTGAAGGAAAGAATTCGTGATATAAACCATCCACGTTGTTTCCAAAGCAATAAAGGATAAAGATGATAGTCATTGGTGAATGATTCCGACTGCCTGCTCAGTAGCTTCTCCAACATTAATGTTAAGATAAGCCCAAGACTCACCGTCCATAACGCGGACGGTAAACTGCACCAGGTTTCCACTTGATGTAACCGGTGTGGACATTACACTATGCTGCCCTTCCCTCGTGCTAAAAGCGACGGGTTGTTCCCAAGTGGCGCTGTAACTGGTCAAATCTTCAAAAGTCATTATTCCACCTGTTACAGGTGACAAAAACAGATGCCAAAAATTAGGAGTTTTTTGGGGGGGAGGGCACTATTTGAGTGAAACATTAACGAATTATCAGAAGTCCACCATATCATCACTGAATCAAGTAAAATGCCATAATTCTACCCAAAAGTCCTTATTTCAACCCCAAACTCGATCGATTAATTGAAGTTTAACTAACCCAGCGAAACGGCCATATTGTCTTGTTTTGTTTTTGCTTTTTTTTGTTGAAAACTTGACCTCATCTTCCGCTTCGGTTGAAGTATTTTTTGCCATGCCCCGTAGAACTCTCTCTGCTACTGCCCAAACATCACGTCTTAAGTTCAGCTGGGGAGCTGGGGAAATGTTTCCCCGGGTTTATTTTGTCAATTGTAAGGATTTAATATGCTTTATCAGAATGATGCATAGGAATTAACAATTATTTCTTCCCTTGGTCTCTGATATCTTGGACAAGTTTCCGACCCATCTCTCCACCATGAAAGGCTGCCCCACCCTCGTCAGCAATTGCACGAAGCGTCTGCACCAGACCAGTAGGTGCTGTGATGATATCGCCCTCCTCCATCAACGACCCGTCAGGCTTCGTGTACAGCTGCCTGCATGAACAGAGCGTATGTCAGATAGGTTGGCGCAGTGCTATTCCTTGCCCTCCTACCCTGCGATCTCTGCCTGAGTGCGCAGGATTTCCTCACACCCAAACAAAATAAGTATTAAATACTGCATTTGTGTGCTCCTTCCTGTTTTAAGGCTTCCGAACAAAATGATCGTTTTTTTACACTTCCGGCGAATTCTTAGTTAAAATTTCTAAACTGGATTAAACATTTACATAAGCCTAAGTTAAACTGTTTACACTGAGGTCGACAAGGCTAGCATATGCTCTGCTCAGCTCGGCTCGGCTTTTCGACTCCACTTGGTTCGATTCGGATAAGCACGGCCTGGCTCGGCTCAAAGAGGAGCTCAACCGATAATCCAGTTAAGAAATTGTGTCAAGCTCTATAAAGTCCGCATGCAGGAATACATTAAGAGCACAAACAATCATTCAAATTTACCTAAGAATCGGCCAACGGTCGAAGTCTTTCTCCAGAATTTTCAGGCAGTACGCAGTATGCCATGCGAGCGGAAAGCCGTGTTCTGCCATATCAATGACCGGTGTAACGAGTTGTTTCCACGGCAGTTCTCCGTACTTCTGATGTGCTGCCCACAATCCCGCCAACTCACCAGGTACACTTACGGCTTTTGCTCCTGTGCATGATTTAAACAAAGAATTGATGGGAAAATTTCCGGTGAAGCATTTGTGTTAAATCAGATAACTGTCATGCTACAATAGTCCCAAAATGTCACGAATAAAGCTGATGCCGATAATCATAATAATAATGGCTGCGGAAGGCATATCAACACAAACATTTTCCTCAGAGGTTTAGTGAAGCCGGATTGGAATCTGCGACCTCCACGAAGACTAACTTGATGGCAAAGCATTATGAGTTTGAGGTCCTGAATGGTTAGATTTTGAAGATGAATTTACAACATCAGACACCTTTCCAAAAAACAACAACCGATGTCACCATTTTAGGGACAACACAATCTGACTACCAAGTTTGGTGATCTCGACCAATCTGTCAAGAACTCGTCAAGAATTAAATACATGTATAAGCAACTGGGCTAAGAAAGGTCCACAACTTCAAAGTAGTTTGGCAAAGATCGGCAAATTGTTGGTGATAAAACCGGAAAAATGTATCAACAAATGGCAAATGTGCGAATCAATATCTTGGAAGGATGCAAAGATATACCGTAGTTGGCTTGATCAGTGTCATTCACAAACATATCAAAATCTGATGCGGCCGGGGCTTCTTCGACAGCCATGATAGTCTCTGTTGAGCCATCTTTACTGTAGATTACCATAAACAGCCCCCCACCGAGCCCCGAACTCTGCGGACTAGCCACGCCCAGGCAAAGGGCGGCTGTTACGGCTGAATCAACTGCCGAACCACCGTCTAGAAGAATGTCCCTGTGGAATAAGTCAATGACAATTTTTATAGATACTGATTACAATAAACACACTTTGTTCATTTGGAAAACTCCGAATATGCTACGGATCCGACCTGAATGGCTGCTACAAACTAATCATCTTTTTTGGCAGGCCATTTTTGCAGAGAGCTCCCACCTCCCCTCCCCGGCTGCATTTTGTCTCTTGTTTTGGTTCTTGTTGAGGGAAATGAAAGCGCCAACACCTCACCACCGCAACTAATAGTATAATACCCTCTTCAACGAGCTCCGCCGGGGTTTTCGTTAGTGTCTGTTAGTGTCCAAAAATCGTCCATTTTGAACAGTCCTCCTTCCCCCCCCCCCCCCCCCCCCCATCGAGCCTCCTTCTCGAACTTTGCGGTGGCCGGGTGGCCGAAAAGTAATGAGAAACTGTTGAGACGTTGGTGGCAGCAAACACGCCGGTCCTATTTCCATTGTTAAGTCACATTGAGCATGCGCACTTCAGATTTCACATGACGTATACAATCAAAATACCGGTATGTTTGCTGCCACCAACGTCTCAAAAGTCTCCCATTCTTGCTACCATCCAGCACGGATGGTCGGGCGGGAAAGAAAATAGGCTACTGTTTCTGGGGGGATCTACTTCCAAAAACCTGCATATCAACGTTAAAACAAATCTAATCAGAGGGCATGCTTCATTACCTTGCCATCTCCGAGCAGGGGCCATAATCTGTAGCCACGGCTGCCTTTCGGTAAACCCCAATCTGTGGAGATGTGTCATCCTTATCCCTGAGGCCCAGCGTAAGGCCCACGGCGAGCCCTACAGCCGCTAGGATAACCACAACTACCACACATGCGATCACAATATAACGCTTTCTGTAATAAACAATGGACGAGTACGTTTATGTTTATCATTTAATTTCGGACAGCCATATCCGATAAGAGCAGCTTATACCGTTGGAAAAAGTAGGCGAAAACCTTGTAAGACATGATGCACACTGAGAAAAGTCACTAAAATTGATGACAGAGGAGAAGGATCTATTATTTTATCCATCTATTGATAGTCGCGGTGCCTTTTTTCAGGTAAAAGAACATAATTGTCTTCCTTAAACATGTAAACAAATGTTGCTTGCTTCATAACACTTCCAAGATTTCTATCATTCGCGACATATTTGGAGGCCGAGGGTCTTACTGATCTATCGCAAGCAATCAAACAGCTTCATTTAGGCCTATAAATGACAATGACCAAAAAACACCTAAATAAGGACTTCAGTAATGACAGAGAAAAGACTGCGTGAAATTGAATAGTTTACTTTTTTTTCCAAATAAATAAGCACTCACCTGACCGATTTGTTCATCTTTTGTGTTTGCACTCTCGTGTATAAATTGCGGGGGTGTACGTGTTTGCTCATTTGGTACAAAGCGCGACAGGCTGTGTTGGCTCGTTGGATAATGCACAAAAGGAACACTATAAATTGATTGAATGGAAATATAGAATTTGGAATGGATGTCGACCACGCAAGTGCTTGTTGAAACCGTGTAAATAATAAAACCCTCAGGCTACACAGGTTTAACCTGATTTATCTGGGTACGTACTTTTGAGGTGAGTATAATCATGTATATTATCAGCGATATCGCTTATCGTGGAGTTGCACATCGGACTTTGGTCACTTACCACGTTCGGCCAATTACCAATCGTTTTTCAAAATGGCGATGGGCTTTAGGACTATTTTAAGGGGTAACCATCTTCGGATGGAAATTTTTCCTAAAAGTCATCCGTTGACCCCACGTAAATTGAAAAGAAAATGAAGGATGATGATATAAGCTTTAATTTGATGTGTGTCTCGAACACCTTGGAGTGTTGTGAGTATTTTCCCCGAATTTCTGAAGTGGGAACATTTAACATTGGGGTCAATGGAAGTTTATTTACTGAGTTTGTTTTGCTTTCAATAAGGGACATTGAACAAAAGAGGACAATAGGGTCCCTAACTCCCGAGAGGTCCCCAATTTGGATTCGTGTACAAAATATATGCGAGGTCTTCCTAAAAAGTTTGTACAAACAAAAGAGGGACAACAGGGAGTCCCCGGTTGAAGGCAAATACACACTTGTATGTGTGTGGGTAGGCCTTTCAGTTTTATGGCACACTGCGGCATTTTCCTTGGCCCCCAAGTTGTCCGTATAGTCCTCCGAATTGTTCGAAAGCCCTAGGCACAGTGCCTTTTGTGCCCATTAGATGATCCTGGCCTGGATCGAGCGCACGCTAGTCGAAAATGGTTGTGTTAAGAAACGGAAACATTAACAGTTGAACAACTTGTGCTACCGCCATTGTCTCAGGGTGCACACGCCTGTAAATAGGCCAAAAATCCGTCCGCCGAGCTCATGAATAAAAGTTATACTCTCAAAATATTCTATAATAGAGAGTTCTGAGAGCCATGGAATTGGGGAAATGAAGACATGTGGCACTGAACCTCTGGCCTGGACTTGGATCTTCCAATTCTGAGCATTTTGGATGCAATCGGGCCCGAAAGTGGCGCTATTTATCCATGTTGTGGAGGGATTCTTTTTCAAAATGGCTACTTTTCCAGCTTGGGAAACATCATTCGTTTTAGGGGTGTTCTTTTGTGGGTGAGAATATCTCAAAAAGTAAATGGCCAACCCACCAAAAATTGAAAAGAAAATGAAAGATGACATTCTGTGCAGCTTGAATATCTGTGAGAGTTCTGAGTATTTTTGAATGAATTTTGAAGTATGGGCATTTAGCACTAGTGTCTATGGGAATTTTATTGCAGGCGTGCACCCCTCAAGGTCGTTGACATTACAATAGTTCGACTGGAGTCAGTCAATTGTGCAAACATGTATTAGTACGGCAGGAGAAATGGGTTCCAATGCACCCCCCCCCCCCAAAAAAATAATAAAATTCCAAGATGATTTTTAGAATCCCTAGCACATCAGATTAAAGAATTTTGATGTTGCCAGCGAAAAAAATTGTCCCATGATGCCCTAATTTGCATATTTCCAAGATGGCTGCCGTGCAAATAATTAAAACGCTAAATGTCATATGTTAGTGACTAATGAGCCGATTTTGATAATCTTGGTGTCAAAATTATGGCTTTTGGGGGTGCTGAATCGATTTTCGAGGTTTCTAAAATAGCTGGAGGTCAAGGTCACGTGATTCAGGCAAAAGTCAAGGTCATTTAGGTAAAAAAATGTGTCATTTTCATTTCCCCACCGGCATTATTTTTTACCCATCTCTCATAGATATGGTGATAGAGGCCTACTTATTGCTTTACAAATTTCCCACATTATCCCAATTACCAAATCCATTTAATGAAAAAAATATGTGGCATTTTATTTTGGACTTATGGCTCAATATTTGATCCCACCCCCTAAGTTTTGGATATGACCCAATATTATGAAAATTCCTAAATTATAGCCAGTGGATAAAAAGCTTACCGTTATATTTTTTTTAGGGTCATGGAATCGATTGATGGTGGTTTAGAAATAATCAGAGGCCATTTTCTTTCTCCAAGGACAAGGGTCAAGGGCATTTTATTAATAAAATACTTCTTTTTTTCATTTTCAGACATGCACGTTTTTTGTCCAACTCCCATTGATATGGGTAATAAAAAGCTTATTGTTCAGATTTTTTTCATTAACCCAAAAACAATTTTATGTGAACAATATGGTTAATCATGATCTTTGAGGTCATAGGATGTGTAAATTTGAGGTCTTCATCATTGTGTTAAGGTCATATTCAAGGTCATAGGACGGAAGAAATAAGTACAAACAACTTAGAGCATAGACCTCATTGCAAGTGATGACAATTTATTACTTCTGAACCGGTAATTACAGAAAGACTACTGGGATATTTAAAACAAATGACGTTGTGGCGAAGTCTAAGGGACATCCTCAGAATCCATGAAAACATCATCTTCGTCAATCTCCATAGTCTCCTTAGGATACCGCGTACTACTTCGCTCTTTTGCTGGCCCTCTTCATTTTCAGCAGCATCAGTGTCCAACGGATCAACGAGTGATGGTGGCAAGATAGGGCCAATTGACCAGACAGGCTCCAGTACATGTACCCCTCAAACCGGTCTTCAGCCACCCTTGACCCTCATCATACGGTTTGGGAGCCCCACAATTAGGGTCAGCAGCACGCCTGTAGCCGGCCGGTCACACGGTGGTTGACACACTGCACATGATGAGGGATGAGTGAGTTATGGCAGGGAGGCAGGCGGACCATGTCAACCTTCCACTTGCAGTTAAGCTAGTGGTTCTCTCCCTCAGCAGCTTGCTCCTCACCACATTCCAACGGCCAAGTTCCGGACAAACTTGATGGAACAGGGCAAATACCGGCTTGTTATGGGCTTCTTCTGGCAGTACCGTACAGTTTCAATGGTCCTCAACCAGAAACGGGCCATTACTGGCAATGCAGTTCCGTGTTGACGGCACAGAGCTGGTCCAGTGCTTCTACATGTATATACAACCAACCGTAACGCCAAGATGGTACAGAGCCTGAATCGGGTCTCTGCTGGTCCTTTCAGAAAGACGGTACAGGGCCTGACGAGGCCAGTGATATTCCTGTCAAAACCATTATGGCAAGATATGTTATCGAGCCCGAAGTAGTCTTTCTGAAAGGACCGGCAGTGACCCGATTCAGGCTCTATACCGTCTTGCCGATATGGTTTGCCTTAAGAGGGCCGGCACTGGCCCAATTCAGGCTGCGTGCCGTTTTCTTGCCGTGATGGCTTGTCGCAAGAGGATGGCTGACACTGGCCCGATTCAGGCATTCCGTCTTGCCGATATGGTTTGTCGTAAGAGGCTAGCACTGGCCCGATACAGGCTGTGTGCGGTCTTACCGTTATTCTTGTCGCAAGAGGGCCGGCACTGGCCCGATTCAGGCTTTGTATTGTACTACCATTAAAGTTTGCCAGCACTGGACCAGCTCTGTGCCGTCATGGTGCCGTCAACACGGAACTGCATTGCCGCAATCAAGCCAGCAATGGCCCGTTTTTCTGGTTTTGTACCATTGAAATTACGGTAATGCCAGAACAAGCCCATAACAAGCCGGTATCTGCCCTGTATCGTCATGTTTGCCCTGTGCTTACCCTATATGCGTTCTCGGGAAGGTTTGCACCAGTGCTTTCAAGGGCAAGGGAAAGGTGGCGCCACTGAAGAAGCTCCAGAAGAACACTAAGTTCCACAAGGTTTTCAGGCAAATAACATTTGCATATAAACAATTATTTGCATGTGGTCACATTCAAGTGCTCTTTCAAATTCGTTGTTGTTCATGAAGTGATTGTACATTATGAACTGTGTTACAGGCAGGTCGGCGTTGACAGGGAGGGTGGCCCCAGAGGCGCAGGAACAGTTGGCCTTCACCTGCGCCATGTATGGTCAAGCGCGTGAGACATGTATATGTTAATGTGGTGACGAGCAAGCTGCTGAGGGTGAGGACCACAAGCTTAACTGCAAGTGGAAGGTTGACATGGTCCGCAAGTGCCTCCCTGCCATAACTCACTCATCCTTCATCATGTGCAGCGCGTCAACCACCGTGTGGCCGGCCGGCTACAGGCGTGCTGCTGACCCTAATTTACCGTATGATAAGGGTCAACTGAAGACAGTTGAAGGGGTACATGTACTGGAGCCTGTCTGGTCAATTGGCCCTATCTTGCCACCATCACTCGTTGATCCGTTGGACGCTGATGCTGCTGAAAAAGAAGAGGGCCAGCAAAAGAGCGAAGTAGCACACGGTATCTTAAGGAGAATATGGAGATTGATGAAGATGATGTTTTCATGGATTCTGAGAATGTCCATTTGACTTCGCATAACTTCACTTGTTATAAATAGCTCAGTAGTCTTTTTTCTGTAATGACCGGTTCAGGAGTTACTAAAGTAATAAATGTTCATCACTTGCAACGAGGTCTATGCGCTAAGTTGTTTGTACTTATTTCTCTCGTCCTATGACCTTGAATATGACCTTAACACAATGATGAAGACCTCAAATTGACACATCCTATGACCTCAAAGATCATGATTAACCATATTGTTCACATTAAAATGTCTTTGGTTTTAATAAGAAAAATTCTGAACAATAAGCTTCCATTACCATATCAATGGGAGTTGGACAAAAATCGTGCATGTCTGAAAATGAACACAAAGAAGTTTTTTAATAAAATGCCCTTGACCCTTGTCCTTGGGGCAAGAAAATGACCTCTGATAACTTCTAAACAACCATCAATCGATTCCATGATCCTAAAAAAAATATAACGGTAAGCTTTTTATCCACTGGCTATATTTTAAGAATTTTCATAATATTGGGTCATATCCAAAACTTAGGGGGTGGGATCAAATATTGAGCCATAAGTCCAAAATAAAATGCCACATATTTTTTCATTAAATGGATTTGGTAATTGGGCTAATGTGGGAAATTTGTAAAGCAATGAGTAGGCCTCTATCACCATATCTATGGGAGCTAGGTAAAAAATAATGCCGGTGGGGAAATGAAAATAACGCATTTTTTACCTAAATGACCTTGACTTTTGCCAGAATCACGTGACCTTGACCTCCAGCTATTTTAGAAACCTCGAAAATCGATTCGGCACCCCAAAAAGCCATAATTTTGACACCAAGATTATCAAAATCGGCTCATTGGTCACTAACATATGACATTTAGCGTTTTAATTATTTGCACGGCAGCCATCTTGGAAATATGCAAATTAGGGCATCATGGGACAATTTTTTTCGCTGGCAACATCAAAATTCTTTAATCCAATGTCCTAGGGATTCTAAAAATCATCTTGGAATTTTATTTTAGGGGGGGGGTGCATGGGAACCCATTTCTCCTGCCGTACTAGTACAGGAATGCATTGAACCCTAGTTGTACCACCGTGCCGGATTTGTTTACAAGGATGACTGGGTTTCATTTACGACCATTTTACGAAAATTATTTAGAGGGCGTGCCCAAGCACTAATTTTATGACTGACAGTAGGCTTTTCGGATTGTTTAACTGTACGACAACACAAACAAAGAAAAATACAACTGCAGAAAGTATACATGATAACATTATTGCTTTATTGACGTAATTTCTCATTGAAACACTCTTTTATATTATTTGTCTGTCCCAATGTATTTCTTGCAATTATATCGTTGTAATGTTGACTAGTCTTTAATCATCACTGTCGTAATTCCTCGCTGACGTCTTCTTCATCTTGATGGAACAGTCCGTCAAATTTTATCTGGTGTTTAGGCATAATTCTGCTGAGAGCCTTTTGTACGTCAATGCCCTTAAAGATTGTTTTCTTCGAGATTGTCCACAATATCTTGATGAGTATCGTTATCTTTCAGATGTAGGTAGCTTGACAGAAAATCCTTGTACTTGTTAAAAAAGATTTGCTTGACTGCCCAGAGGGTCTTCCTATCGGCCTTTTCCTTGGCCTGATCTTCACCCATACCTTCGTTGATGTACTTTTCATGTTTTTTGCTCCACATTTCATGAGTCGCTTATTTGGACTCTTCCAACCAGTCTCGAAAAGTAGCATTGTCTTCTAATTCAGAACTAGACACATCTTCATCGTCATCTTCTACCTCCGAGTCCGTTTCCGAGTCCGATTCATCCACGTCAGGATGTTCAGATTGAATAACCTCAATCTCAAAATCATCGTTAACCCCATTAATTTTAGATTCATCTTCAGCATGAGCTTCTTCTGTCACAAGCATGAGGTTTGACTGCAGAAATAGTATTCATGTTGAAGTTATAAAGGTTGATCCCCGAATGACAAGAAACGGATGAATTCATTCAATATTATATTATGCCAACAACTGTTATGTGATGTCTGAGCTCATTCGCACATTCCCTGCGCATGCTCCCTGTGCGGCTGTGCGCTCTTTGTATTCATGTTGCTCATAACGATGCTTATTTGCACAATCCTTGCTCTTTTCTTGCTCATTTGCTCAATCTTTGCTCTTTTCTTGCTCATTATTTCATGTAGGGGACGTCAACGAAAATGTAACATTTTTTGACTACATGACAAAGAATAATGCGACAGGGCCAATGATCCAATTAATTCTTTGCCTGACAGGAGGCTTTCCCGATTGTTAAACTGTAAGAAAAAGACAACGCTAACAATAGGTCTCGTTCAAATGACGTCATTTCCCATCCACGTGCATCGGAATTTTGAGCGTGATGAGTAAAATTAGCAATTACTCATTTACTCATGAGTAAAAATGAGTAAAATGAGCAATTACTCATTTACTCATGAGTAAATGAGTAATTGCTCAGTTACTCATGACTGGATTGCACTGGTAAAAGTACCCAATCATGCAGGGTTTTGCATACGATCTAGAGTCACACCATCAGTACGGGAGCTTCCAGTTTTTCTTAATATGGACCTTTCTTGAAATTCAGTTCGGTAACACAAGACATTTTGTGTCATGTCTTTAGAAACCAGAATCGTATGAATTTGAGTAATGTGTCTAAATTCAGTTCACGAATCTCATAGGCTTCATCCATTTTCGATTTTTTTTTAATTCACTTCTTTAATTTAAAAACCAATACCAATATATTTTGGTGACCGACTACATGATCACTGCGGCGACTACAGGATTACTTGCAGAATCAAAATCTTGAAGAAAAATCACAAATCGATCGGACGGCTGACGTAATCCTTCCCGTACCCATTTCAAATCGTATGATATATTAACTCAATCACGTGATATGTTTCACGTATGCGTATTAAGGTAAATAACTTTGTGTCCGGGAACCATTTTAGGCGGACAATTCGATGATTAGTCGGATAGCCCTTGAGGGCGCTCTTGAATTAATTGTTGAGCAAGAAGAACGGTTGGTTAGTAGCCGGCGGGATATCCATGTTTACGTCTGTCCGAGTGCGCCTGGATAGTCGACCCGGGTCCACGGAGAATACCCTGGGCAGCTGGGAAGGACGAGGTGGAAACCATGTTGTGCCCCATTGCTTTCAGCCCTTCAACGAGATCCTGCAAACAATAAATGGCTTCGTAATTCATTTCGTATCACTTCCGATCAGTTTCTCGTAACTTCAACCTCGAAAAAGGGGACTCGTTAGCCTGGGTTGTTTCTTGTAATGTCTGTTCTCTTCAAAAAATTCGTCGGGTTGTTTTTTTTTCCAAATGATAAATCATGGACGAGTCTTAAGTGAAAATAGTTTGGTTAAACTGGAAATAAAAAAACCTAGGTTATGTTTCCCCTTCACGGCAAAGCGCTGGCGCAATGCTTCTCACTCGTAATATATTCGGACATTGATACCAATAAAGGACATCAATCAGTACAATCAGTAAAATTCCAAAACTTGTCTTTTTAGTCTTTAAAAAGTCTATAATGTGCAAATTTTGATTGTATTATATAACCTCAGGAAAGTCCTTTTCGTAGTAGGTACGGTTTAAAGAGGCACTTCGGTAGGGATACACCCTTGGAGAGTCGATCATATCCGACAGCGACTCGCTACCCCAGAGAGAACGCAGCAGCACCTGTTGGGTTGAGAATAAAACCAAACAGCACTTGAAATGAAGGTGCTTTAGACTCTATGCACATATGCCATCAGCGATCTAAAGAGAGAGAGAGATAGGAAGACAACTGGGAGGGACATTCGGAGCCTTTGACATCCCCTGTCGCTCAGGCAAAGAGGCCAGAGGCTTGTGCAGATTCACTTTTTGTGTACATTTTGCGCATGAAGTCTTTCTCTCAATGAGCTCTCGTGAGTCCTGGTGATGAAGTAACAACTCAGCACAGGTCATGCACGGAGTCCTGAGACAAGGTTACCAAGAGGTAAGGCTTCAAAGAGAGAACGTTAGTATGTTATGAACAAAAGAACAAAACCAACAAAACAACTTGATAGTGATGTACTTGCTTATGCCCTGAAGACAATATGATTATGTGGACACTATATTAATTTAATACTGTAAAGTTAAGGGAAAACAACTAAACCGTATTGACAGAGAAAAATCATCCGACGTTCTAGTGATCACTTAATTAGAACGTTTCTGTTGACTTCAAAAAATGTAATACCCCTGTGGGGACCCATTGCTTAACTTAACAAGGTACTTAATACGATTAAGTCTTCCTCACCCATGCATTCGTAGAAATAATTCTCATACTGCCCGAAGACCCGATGACTCCATAGACTCCGTCCTCATCAGCGATGATAGAGGGGCTCATGGTAGACATTGCCCGGACCCCCGGAGCCAGTCTGTTAGCCTCCCATGGCGGTGACCGGCCGTTGTAGTAAAAGCTACCCATGTGGCCATTGAGGAAGATTCCGGTCTGGTTGGAAAAGGTTCTACTACCAAAACTAATACGATATAGGAGGGATTATACGTGTCACCTGGGTGAAGTTTACAAGTACAACTGATACTAACAGATGAGTACATTTTAGAGGTTTTTGGTATAGCGAGCCAACAAGTGCTGTACTTTGATATATCAGGGAGCTAAGAGCACTCACGTTAGACGGTAATTTGCTATAACATGCCTTACTTTGACAGGTGAAATATCTGGACAAAGTTGCGGACTCACTATTGGCCAACTGATGTAGTCATCGACACAGCATCTCCGTGCTCAGAATAGACGCTCAAGTGACTTGTATCTCCATTTATTGTGTCCAAAGCTTCTCCCTCATCGGCTTGCTCTAGGGCTGGCGCTGCTCGGAAGGTATCGGGGAGGCCATTGAAAGTGTCGTAATCCTGACCAGAGGGATACGTCACGTGGGTTTCGTTGATCTTGGAACAGATCGTCCGGGCGTACTCTTTAGACGACAAGGCAGCAACAGACTGATGGGTAAAATTTAGTATTTTGTTTCCTTCATAGTGTTAAGACAGACCATGCTTGTAAATTAAGAGTTTAAGCATATTATATATGATTTCACCAGTATAGGCTTTCAATGCGCAAATCTGATCTTTTTTCCTACTCATCGAGTTCACGTACATTCCGAAAACAATCCCAGCTACCAGCTGATATCTCACAGGTATACAGGCATGGGCGTCGCGAGGGGGGGGGGGGCAAGGGGGCACTTGCCCCCCCCCCCCCCTGGAAAAGCAACCAAAAAAGAGAAAAAAAAGAAAAAAAAAGAAAAAAAGAGGCGCAAAGACAAAGTGGTGTAAATTTAATGAGTTGGGGGGGGGGGGTGGCAAAATGTCCGTACTGGGTAACGACACGACAAACGTGTACATGTAATACCCATGCAGGAATAAGCCAATACAAACCATAGACTGGACTGGGACCTACAATCGTTCCTTGTAACCTGTTACAAGGACACGCCAAGAAACAAAATGTAAGCAGACAACATTGGAACAGTATAGTTTTTGAGGGGGGTAATATTGTTCGTGGTGCAATCGACAATGCCATATAAAATATATTTGAAACACGTTGCTATTTTCTGAGAAAAAAAATCAGTCCTTATTAATACCTTTGCATTTTCCGCTTTGCCGTAATCTCCAATGTGCAGCCGCAGGCCAATAGCAAACGTGCTAGCCTCTATGAAATAGTGGTACATTTTCAATTTGCCCTCGTATGTGTCGAGGTTCACGCTAGCCAAGTTACATTCTGCAAAATGACAAACCACAAGTACATTGTATAAAAAAACCTTTAATTATTGCACTTCTGCACCATAACTCCTATTTTCTGACCCTACCCCCCAAAAAAAAAATAATAATAATAAAAACACCAATAAGCTTTTCACCATCCGCTTATACGAAAGACAATATTGTAGCATTACAGCTTATTGGGTCTAAAGAATATAGGATAATAAATAAAGCAATAAAGGATAATAAATGATAGTCATTGGTGAATGATTCCGACTGCCTGCTCAGTAGCTTCTCCAACATTAAGTTAAGATAGGCCCAAGACTCACCGTCCATAACGCGGACGGTAAACTGCACAAGGTTTCCACTTGATGTTACTGGCGTGGACATTACACGATGCTGCCCTTCCCTCATGCTAAAAGCGACGGGGTGTTCCCAAGTGACGTTGTAACTGGTCAAATCTTCAAAAGTAATAATTCCACCTGTTACAGGTGACAAAAACAGATGCCAAAAATTAGGAGTTTTTGGGGGGAGGGCACTATTTGAGTGAAACATTAACGAATTATCAGAAGTCCACCATATCATCACTGATTCAAGTAAAATGCTACTATGTCGTTTATATCAAAATACTCCAAAAGTGCCATAATTCCACCCAAAAGTCCTAATTTCAGCTCCAAACTCGATCGATTAATTCGAAGTTTAACTAACCCAGCGGAACGGCCATATTGCCTTGTTTTGTTTTTGCATTTTTTTCTTGAAAACTTGACCTCATCTTCCACTTCGGTTGAAGTATTTTTTGCCATGCCCCGTAGAACTTTCTCCGCTACTGCCCAAACATCACGTCTTAAGTTCAGGTGGGGAGCTGGGGAAATGATCCCCGAGTTTATTTTGTCAATTGTAAGGATTTTATATGCTTTATCAGAATGATGCATAGGAATTAACAATTATTTCTTCCCTTGGTCTCTGATATCTTGGACAAGTTTCCGACCCATCTCTCCACCATGAAAGGCTGCCCCGCCCTCGTTAGCAATTGCACGGAGCGTCTGCACCAGACCAGTGGGTGCTGTGATGATATCGCCCTCCTCCATCAACGACCCGTCAGGCTTCGTGTACAGCTGCCTGCATGAACAGAGCGAATGTCAGATAGGTTTGCGCAGTGCTATTCCTTGCTCTCCTACCCTGCGATCTCTGCCTGAGTGCGCAGGATTTCCTCACACCCAAACAAAATAAGTATTAAATACTGCATTTGTGTGCTCCTTCCTGTTTTAACTGTTAAGGCTTCCGAACAAAATGGTCGGTTTTTAACACTTCCGGCGAATTCTTAGTTAAAACTTCTAAACTGGATTAAACATTTACATAAGCCTAAGTTATACTGTTTACACTGAGGTCGACAAGGCTAGCATATGCTCTGCTCAGCTCGGCTCGGCTTTTCGACTCCAGTTGGTTCGATTCGGATAAGCACGGCCTTGCTCGGCTCATAGAGGAGCTCAACCGATAATCCAGTTAAGAAATTGTGTCAAGCTCTATAAAGTCCGCATGCAGGAATACATTAAGAGCACAAACAATCATTCAAATTTACCTAAGAATCGGCCAACGGTCGAAGTCTTTCTCCAGAATTTTCAGGCAGTACGCAGTATGCCATGCGAGCGGAAAGCCGTGTTCTGCCATATCAATGACCGGTGTAACGAGCCGTTTCCACGGCAGTACTCCGTACTTCTGATGTGCTGCCCACAATCCCGCCAACTCACCAGGTACACTTACGGCTTTTGCTCCTGTGCATGATTTGAACAAAGAATTGATGGGAGATTTCCGGTGAAGCATTTGTGTTAAATCAGATAACTGTCATGCTACAATAGTCCCAAAATGTCACGAATAAAGCTGATGCCGATAATCAATGGCTGCGGAAGGCATATCAACACAAACATTTTCCTCAGAGGTTTAGTGAAGCCGGATTGGAATCTGCGACCTCCACGAAGACTAACTTGATGGCAAAGCATTATGAGTTTATGGTCCTGAATGGTTCGATTTTGAAGATGAATTTACAAAATCAGACACCTTTCCAAAAAACAACAACCGATGTCACCATTTTAGGGACAACACAATCTGACTACCAAGTTTGGTGATCTCGACCAATCTGTCTAGAACTCGTCAAGAATTAAATACATGATGTATAAGCAACCGGGCTAAGAAAGGTCCACAACTTTAAAGTAGTTTGGCAAAGATTGGCAAATTGTTGGTGATAAAACCGGAAAATTGTATCAACAAATGGCAAATGTGCGAATCAATATCTTGGAAGGATGCAAAGATATACCGTAGTTGGCTTGATCAGTGTCATTCACAAACATATCAAAATCTGAGGCGGCCGGGGCTTCTTCGACAGCAATGATAGTCTCTGTTGAGCCATCTCTACTGTAGATGACCATAAGCAGCCCCCCACCGAGCCCCGAGCTCTGCGGACTAGCCACGCCCAGGCAAAGGGCGGCTGTTACGGCTGAATCAACTGCCGAACCACCGTCTAGAAGAATGTCCCTGTGGAATAAGTCGATGATAGTTTTATAAATAATGATTACAATAAACACTTTGGTCATTTTAATAGGAAAACTCCGAATCTGCTTCGGATCCTACCTGACGTGAATGGTTGCTACAAACTAATCGGTCGGGAAAGAAATGGGCAACTTTTTCGGGGGGGGGTGGAATCTACCACCCAAAACCTGCATATCGACGTTAAAACAAATCTAATCAGAGGGCATGCTTTCATTACCTTGCCATTTCCGAGCAGGGACCGTGATCTGTAGCCACGGCTGCCTTTCGGTAAACCCCAGTCTGTGGAGATGTGTCATCCTTATCCCCGAGGCCCAGCGTAAGGCCCACGGCGAGGCCTACAGCCGCCAGGATAACCACAACTACCACACAGGCGATCACAATATAACGCTTTCTGTAATAAACAAAGGATGAGTACGTACGTGTTTAGCATTTAATTTCGGACAGCGATATCTGCTCCGAGAAGAGCAGCTTACCCGTTGGAAAACGTAGGCAAACACCTGAGATATGATGCACACTGAGAAAAGTCACTAAAATTGATGACAGAGGATAAGGATCTATTATTTTATCCATCTATTGATAGTCGCGGTGACTTTTTTTCAGGGAAAAGAACATAATTGTCTTCTTTAAACATGTAAACAACTGTTGCTTGCTTCATAACACTTCCAAGATTTCTATCATTCGCGACATATTTGGAGGCCGAGGGTCTTACTGATCTATCGCAAGCAATCAAACAGCTTCATTTAGGCCTATAAATGACAATGACAAAAAAGCACCACATTAAGGACTTTAGTAATGACAGAGAAAAGACTACGTGAAATTGAATAGTTCAACATTTTTTTTCAAATTAATAAGCACTCACCTGACCGATTTGCTTATCTCTTGTGTTTGCAATCTCGTGTATAAATTGCGGGGGTGTTTGCTGATTTGGTACATAGCACGGCAGCCTGTGTTGGCTCGTTGAATAATGCACAAAAGGAACACTATAAATTGATTGAATGGAAATATAGAATTTGGAATGGATGTCGACCACGCAACTGTTCGTTGAATCCGTGTAAATAATAAAACCCTCAGGCTACACAGGTTTAACCTGATTTATCTGGGTACGTACTTTTGAGGTGAGTATAATCATGCATATTATCAGCGATATTGCTTATCGTGGAGTTGCGCATCGGACTTTGGTCACTGACCACGTTCGGCCAATTACCCAGGTCTTTGGTACGACCTACGACCTCAATGATCCTTCATTCCTGACTTGACTTTGATAAGTTGCTGTTAGGCAAGTAAACTGAATTGCGACACGTGGGAAGCACTGCCGGCTGACGGAGAGGGCACTCTCATTGTTAACGGCCGAACCATGTGTTCTGTAGGCCCTAATCCACCCTAGGCACCGGCACAAAACTCATGCTGTTAAATTACAAAGTACTGTACAAATAAAGCCAGGGCAAACTGGTATAGATCTTAGCTCTAAAAGGCTTTTAGCAACAAGGGCGTTAATCGCTTCTTAAAAGTGGGGATGACACATACATGCGTATCTTGGTCAAAACTAATGTGAGTGCAACGCCTAACAGCGTTTTTAATTAAAATAAAATCGTGTTTTTATAACTAACACCATGCTTGCGCTGCGACGAATTGATTCTGTTTTTATCCCAGACATCGCATACAAAAATAAACGCAAATGTAACGCACAGGCAGGCACCAGACTATTGCTCATTTGCATACGTGTGCAAAAATTTAGCACATGCAAATGATCCAATACCAGGGTGAGAGAGCAGGTAGTGGTGGATGCGTACTGTTTGACACTATGGGGACGAGGTGATGAGTCATTTATCACGATCATCGAAGACTGTGTGTGGTGGCCCTGGAGGGACATCAACAACTTTTATCGAAATAGTAATTTCGCAACATCGCAATTTCGTTCACGATACAGCAATTGTTTTTAACGACATATCAATTTTGATTGGGTTTTGATTTTACAATTCCTTTTTCTTTCACCAGTTCACCAGTCTACAAAAAGGCAAAGGAGAACGATGATGGTAATAGTGAATACATGTACTTTATAATTAATGGTAAATGGCAGTAATGTTGCAACATCATCATCCTTTATGACACAATGAGAGCTTTCCACTTCGATTCGCTTCCGGATGTTAATTTATCGGTAAAAGTTGTTTCAACTTTTGTTTTCGACAAAGTACTTATTTTCAGTCTAGCATTAACTGTGATTATTTATACTTGTTCTTATTATTTTTAAATGCGCTTTATATATTTGATTCATTGAAGATAAAATATGTTTTAATATTAAACAAATTAATTGTGTGCAATTTGAACTCTTAAATGCTGCGACAATGTTAAATCATGGAGAAAGACAAACAAAATGTTGCTTAAACTAAAAAATTGTTACCTGGCTGTTAGAAGGGTTTTGGTGGGGTGGGGTGTTTGTTTGTGCGTCACAATCAATATTAAAAGAAGTACATTTTAAAAGTCATGAATACTCTAGTTTAAAAATGGACTTTTTGTGTCGGAGATATGTAAATTCAATCCAAGGGTACTTGCTATCTCAATTTTTTTTAAGCTCTCATTTGAAACATTTTAATACTAGCCAGAGACACGAGGGCGGCATTTCCGCGTGCCCACGCTTTGGATTTAGCGATCCCCTCGCCCTCGGATAGGGAGGTAGGAACAAGAGGACATTTCAGACAAGCGATTCCATCAATTTCTTTCAATGGCGCACACGGTAAAGTCCTGCGGTGTCCACACAAGTCCATGGATTCCCTTGAAGGATATCGGAGGCGCATCGTCGGGGTTCTTGAAGGTGAAGTGATGCAGCAAGTGTGTAAATAACACGAAGAGCTCTTGCCTCGCAAGATGCTCTCCTATACAGATGCGGCGACCTGGGGTACGATTCAAGGACAGTTGATGAAGACGTTAGAAAGTACATAATTTTCCGTCAGAATCAAGAACAGTTGATGAGAAAAAGTTAAAAAGTACATAATGTTTTTGTCAGTCAGAGATGTGCAGTTTATTGAACAGTTTTCTTTTATCTGTCATTAGTAATCCTGTTAATCGGATGCCATTGTGTATTAATGTATTGCAACTATTTGTACCAGCCTTTATTTTGCCCTATTTACGATATTCACATCTAGTTCGTAAAAATGTAAGTAAAAATGAAGCCAAACATAATCTATTACCTATTCCAAATGGCGTGAGCTCCTCGCGCGATTGAAACTTTCCTTCTTTGTCCAGAAATCGCTCCGGGCGAAAGCTCTTTGGCTCCTCCCATACAGACGGATCAAAGTGGTTGTGCCACAAGTTAGAGAATACCAAAGTTCCCTTCGGTATGTTGTACCTATTGACAATACAGTGCAAAACTCTATTAAGAAAAAAAACCATTATGCGAAGTAGTAAAAAGTGGTATTGGGTTCAGAGGATGGTATAGGAAAGGACATATTAATCCACGTTGTGACTCATGATTTAGAGGGAGCTATATATCTACACTGACGATTGTGGGATTCCTTCTTTTAGCGTACAGTTGCCCGAGCGTCTCAGCGCATTGTTTCCATTCTGCATTGTTTCATTATTCCTTGCACTGTCACAAAGACTAAATACAAAAAGAACGAGATATATTGCGTTTGCATCAGGCACACGAGTAGGGTGGTCGGGCTGGAAACTATTTCACTGGACGTTGCCCACTTCAGTTTTAAAAACCAGCAATTATGAAGATCAGCCATTTTTCAGTTTAAAAATGTTTAACTTTGACAAATGATTCCTTTTGGGCTACATTATGTGTATGTATAGATTAAACCTTCATAACTTCCGGTTTGATGATTTCACATCATACGGTATGCCTTAGTCCAACACTGTAGGCTAAAAGTATTGTTTTGGCAACGATTATTACCATTGAGCACGACTTGAATGATGAATCATATAAACTAAAAAGCAAAGACTGTAAAATGTTTAAATTCTCCCTACAATACCGTAGCTTCGGTCTTGTTATTGTGGTTGTCCAGAGAATCTTTATGGGCAATTCGGCAAAATTTTAACAAATCGTCTTAAAAAAATGTTGTTCTTTAATGTTGTATCGCTTGTAACCTTATACCGCCATATAGACGTCCCAATTTGTTCTCTCATTTCGAGCGAGGGTCCACGTTTATCAGGTTCATCTTCACCCCTTGAACCGTTTCGAAGAAGTTATTTTTTCTCTTGATTTTGACGATTCGCTTAATTTTGAAATCAGCTAAGTTTGACCTTCCGGTTAGCAGGAGAGAAAATAATAATTTGCCTTGAAAATAATGTTTATCAAGTCGTGGTCTATCAGATTGCAAAGTTTGAATACGATGGTTCTTTTTGTTTACGAGTTATGAGTGAATTAAAAATGCCATTTTGTTTAAGTAAAATCGATTGTTATTTGATACCTGATTACACCATCATGACATCGGTGTCAAATGCACACCTTAGGTCAGGGTTGATGTTTGTTGCAAGTTTCAAGTTTATATACCCTTTTGAATTGATATCTCAGGGAATTACTGTCCGGAAAACAAACTGAAACGATGGCCATACCAAACTATAAACCTCTACACTTACCCCATCAAGGTGGTATCATCGGAACACATATGAGGTACAGACATTGGTACGATGGTTTCAATGCGCTGAACCTCACAAAGCACTGCCTCGGTGTAGGGCAGCTCAGGCTTGTCAGCGATTCTCGGCATTCGATTACGATTAGTGACGTCATCCAACTCTTTCTGGACCCGAGTCTGTACCTCAGGGTAGGCCATCATGTAAAGCATGGCCCAACGGAGTGTGGTGGCTGTGGTCTCCGATCCAGCACCGAACAGGTCGCTCACAATCTTCGGCAAGTTCTCGCTCTGCAGTGCTAGGGACTCCACGCCCTGTTTATCTTTCTTCTCTTTTTCACTCAGGAAAAAGCCGATGAAATCACGCGGGCTATCGGTGTCCTTTTTGTGAGTGTGTTCCCCGACGAGCACGTTGAAGTGCTTGTGGAAATTATTGACCGCATGTACATACCGTCGCACGAAGGGCAGCATTCTTAGTTTGTAAAATATGGGGGATGTTTCAAGCAAGCCCGCGGCCCCTCCCTGTGTTATGTTGTCCGATAAAAGCTTCAAGAGGCGTTGGAATGCCGGATCATGGTACTGGAATCTCTTACCGAACACTACCGAGCAGATTAAGTTGGATACGGCGTTGCCTACCGCGTGTTTTGGATCGAAGGCCTTTCCATGGTATTTCCCGATTTCCTCAATGAGGATTCCTGCTTCAGTGGAGATGTTCTGTTCAAAACTTGCTTTGCCAACCCCGAGACTTCGAAGCACGGTCATGGAAAAACGACGGATTTCTACCCACTCCTCACCAGAAGAATCCAGAATGCCTGTAGTGTGTAAAAAGGGGGATGTTCACTTTCCACTTTAACTCATTCTGGTTCAAATCAGATCTCAACAGATTGTCACGTAAACATTTCTTTAAAAGCCGTAGGGCATGTTCCAAATTACCAGATCATCCGGACATTGTATTTGTTTTAATGTACAGTTTGCATCAATAAAATCTGAAAATGGAGGAGTACCAGGTGGTACAACAAATTATGAACTTGAACAATCTTTAGATGGTTGTGTATTAAGGATGGTACATCAATTTTCTGTTAATGCCAATAGGCATCATTGATTGGAGAACACATCTGTTCAGCATTATTAACATTGTTATACCTTGTCATCATGCTCCTTGAAGAATTTCTAAATGCGTTTAACCCGCTTTCATGCTCAAACCAAACGAAAGCCTATTGTGACATTGGCCTCACCTATCCGACTTGGGCAAACGGCGTGGGTGATATGAAGCTCGGGTCTGGCGCTGAGTTCATATTGAGAGAATGCTTCTTTCGCTGTGTCATGCCCGTGGAGAACCACCATTGATATGCCACCCGCCTCGACGTGTATAATGTTGCCATATCTGCAGGCATAGAGATGTTCAGTTAAACTCTTTTCCCCCATCAAACTAGACTTCCGCATATTAAATTATTACAGGGCCCTGAATTTGACATAATGTGTCTCTCTTTTCACCGATGCTCTGTGTGAGTTCAACTTTTCTTTCTTAAACTTAGGATGAGAATACGTGTATTAGTAGTTAGAGGAAACTCTTTCCCAGTTAATCAGTCATACAGTCTTATTCATGTGAACACATTTGAAAATTAGTGATGACTTCGACTCTGACTAAATTGGCTTGGGTCAGTGATTGGTCAGGCCACGAGAGGGCACATACATTCAGTGGTTCTTAATTTTGAGATTTGGGATGATGCCTACAAAAAAAAGAGAAACAAAACACTGTTGCCGTGCAGGTGCCAAGTGAATGTTAAAAAAATCCTTTTTACTCATCTCATTCTGAGAAGTTGATCCTTGTATGAAAACCTCAGACTAAATTTTTCAAATGTTGGTATTTAGCATGTATTAGTTTTTTCTTCTTCTTCTTTTTTTCAATTTCAAAATCTATTCACATGTGATGTACTGAGATTTCTGAAGGCCTACTCAAGGTCTCAGTGTTGGTTATTGTTGCTCTGAATTCCCAGTATCAAATAAAGCCGTATGGCCCTATGTGTGTTTAAACCAAGTATGAAATTGTCACCTTTTCGTCAACTTTGAAAATAATTCATGCATTTTGTCTCCCGATGCCATTATTTGAGGGAGATTTCCGAGCACAGGCCAGCCCCATGGCCCTGGGGGTAGATTGCGTGGTCGACGAAGGGTCCGGAACAAGACCAGAAATACCACGATGCCGATCAGCAGCGTGCGCGTATTGAGGACGTCGACCGCAGCGAACGGCTCCATGTCGAGTTCTAGAGGGAGGAAATGACAAATATGCGTACTTTGAAAGTGCACGTTTCTACCAGTATTGGCAATTATAAGCGCTATATCGTTAAAGAGGTTGTGGAATGCTCGAAGACATTTCCGTCATTTTTCGGGTATATGTAGCCTAAGGTGTGATGAAATAAAAACGACTATTGTTTCTGTCATGAAATGAGTACAAAAGGTACTTTTGAGAGCTGTTTTTCAGGTCCAGTTTCGACCCGAACGTGCAACTGTGTAAAAGTCGTCGTTGCGGGCAGCAAACAAAACACAGTAAATCGTGACGTAATAAACAGGACTCCCGATGCACAGTAGCATACACGAGTCCTGTTCATTACGTCACGATTTACTGTGTTTACGTCACGATTTACTGTGAAAAACAGCTCTCAAAAGTACCCTTTGTACTCATTTCATGACAGAAACAATAGTCGTTTTTATTTTATCACACCTTAGGCTACATATATCCGAAAAATGACGGAAATGTCTTCGAGCATTCCACAACCTCTTTAATTATTCTGATCACTTTCGCCCATAAAACAACCCAAAGGCTATCTCAGTTATCAAGGGGGTATGCGGCAAAGCAGCTAAAATCATACAACCATATTTGCCCTCACAAGTCACAGGGATGCCCATTACTCCTGGGCGGGGAGAAGCATAACAAAAAAAAGGGCCATGGTCACGAGCTCAATGTTCCGACACACTAGACGATATCACTCCACGAAAGCATAATACAGTACATTCTGCCTTTCTTTAAAAAATACACGTCGCATTTTCTAGTTCTAATATAAATCAACGCTTAAATTCAATGCAACGTCCGATGCACAGCGAGTAAACGGATTCTACGCGGATAGCGTTCATGTTGATGTGCGTGTATACCAGCCGCGCTTTCCCAACGTGCAGATGTGTGACATGTGTACTATTACCCAAACATGTATTCAGTCCGTGGTAATTATTAGTGATATACACCCGCCTATATTGATCGTGTACTAATGTTTCTTCGGAAATCATATAATAAAAACTTGACATGCAAACTCAAGATAGAGAGTCTAGCACAAATCGGGCCTAAACTCACCGTGTATGTCACAGCCTTTGTCCTTGCTGTATGGCGACAACAAATCGAAGCACTGTGGTTGTGTACAAGTAGCTCAGTGTTAGTCGTGAACAAACAAACCAATTCAAAATATACTGACAAAGAATCAATGACCCCAAAGCTCTACGCTTGCGTGTGTAAATATAATGGCCTTAAAAGCAAGGTTTTGCCGTACGACCGGGCGCGCATCACCGGCATTGGCTATAGGCACCACACACACGTGCACACCCACACACATCCGTCATAATTTCAATATAGCCCACAGTCCATACTTGTAATAGTGGTAGATATTTATAAATCAACCAGGAACTGGTGCTAACGGCGCTGCATCATTATTACATCATTATTACCCCTGCTCATTTTGCCAATGAAACATAATTCCAAATACCATCTCAGCTCCCGGGGAGTATACAGCTCGATGCTGCTAGGCGCAAGGAAGCTAATTCAATCACAGTAACCATCTCTGCCCTCACAGGTACCCATTTACTCCTGGGTGGAGAGAAGAAATGAGTGATTGTGCCTTGCCCAAGGGCACACGCACCATGAACCCAGGCTTGACTGGGATCCGAAACCTGCAGCTTTACCCGCAGACCACGAATCCAATGCCCTTATTAACCACGAGGCCACAGCACTCAACAGCACTCCTTGTACACACACACACTGTAGATTACACCCACATCCGGTCCCCACACACACTCAGAACGTTTTTACTATACTCACGAGGACCTGCCCCTTTCCTTCTTATGCTCCCTTTTGTTGTACTTAAACTTTTTTCGACAGCTCCCATGAGGTTTGTACACGAAATTCCCCCAAGTCCCAAGGCCTAGTGCCAAGGTCCTCTGGCCCATTGAAATCTCACACACCCTATTGTCCCAGGTCCTAAGTCTGAATGGATAACTAACCAACGTAGATTTTGTGTGAATTTTCCTGCAATCGTGGACCACCTATTGTCCCTCTTTTGTTAGAACATGTACTAACTTTTAAGGAAGACTTCCCATATGTTCTGTACACGATCATCATTTGTAGAATTTCGGGAATTGTGGACCCTATTGTTCGTTATTGTTCAACGTCCCCTATTGACTGCAGAAACAAACACACTGACACCAGCACACACACATCAGAATCCCTCAAGTTGGGAGCAGTCTTAATCGGAGTATCACGGTACTCCAATCACATTAAAAGACCCATGTCGGAGAGGACAGTGAAAATACACAGTGGCGCACCGGGCCTCGGGGGGCTTGAGGCCCCCCCCCCCCCCAGGTTGTCATTTATTTATTTTTTAATTTTTTTTTTTTTGGGGGGGGGTATTTTTTTTAGTCCCACGATTTGGCCTTGGTGATATGAATGTGGCCTGTTTTCGAGTAGTATAATAGGGGTGTAAGTGGCGCCACCAACGTCAAAATAGGCCGCCCCTAAAAAAAAAAAATTCTGCGGCCTAAAATTGTGGGTAAAATTTTTTGAACAAATTCAACTTTGAACAAATTTGTGAGCCCCCTCCCCCCCAAAAAAAAACCAAATCCTGGGTGCGCCACTGAGAGTACAAAGTAATTGAATCGTTATACCGTCGCGGCAAGCCGTCGTACGCGTTACTTCAAGTTGCGTCCTCTGTCACCGGTGATCGAATGAGTTGCCAAATTTTCGGACATTTCTTCTTCATTAGGGTTCGGAGGCAACTATCCGGTTCGTAAGTAAAAACGTCATACATGCGCGCACTACTACGCTAGGCATTGATCTCAATTGACGTGGAGATTAATGGATGACGTCACACTAACGAATCGGATTGCACTCCATGGTGCACAACGAATGGCGCGCGTATGCGTTTCCAATCTCCCTCTTCTGATGGCCGATAATGACCTGTACGCGCGCGTTTCATGTGTGACGTAACAATAAACAACTCAGTCCGCGCTTTCACGCAAATGTCCCTGGGAGACTTCGCCTTCTCCAAACATAAACACCGCCAGAAACCTGTATGTGCTCTTTGAGATCACATCATCGATATGTTGCGCTCGTTTAAAAAATTATTTCAAAGCTCAAATTTTCAATCAGCTCGAAGCAAAGATGCTCAAGTACGATTCCAATGAACTCTCTAAAGTTGCTGCAAACATCACCACCAGACTGATGTACGTATTTCTTTACTTGATTTTCATATTAAAATGATGAGTCCGATGTACAATGAGAAAAATTCCATGTAAATTATTACATAATGTTTGGTCTGGGAGCTCGTATTCGTCATTACACCTACATTTCTTCAAGTCTCGGAGTCTTCCTGCTAATGAACCCTGCAGCAGCCTATAATTGATGAATACCTGTTTCATGTATATTTTTTTGTCATACGAATAATATATATTTTATAAATTTTAAAAAAAAATGTTCCCTTTGTTGGAGGTACTTTCTTGAGTCAAATAGGTCTATCTGGAAACCTGAATATTATTGATCAATCTTCATTGTTTTAACATCCTTTCGATATGGCAACAGGATGGGAGTCCCTGACGTGCATTCGCCGACTGCGGTCCCTCAGAGCGACCCTTCAGAACCATCAGTTGACGACCCACCCTCTAGTGTTGGTATAGATGGAGGCCACACGGTCCTCAGCCCACCGACTTGGAATCAACCCATCCATGCCCCGTCCAACACTGGCAGGTAAGCGTCTTTCGTAAAATAACTGGACACAACAAAATCGGAGTTCAGATTTTTGGATACGTGCCAAAATACCATTCCCAATGAAAGACTTCGAAAAACTTGGTGTTGATTTATTATGGAATTCATTGAAATTGTAACCCTTAAAACACCCATAATCCCTAAAGGCATTCAAGAAGCTTAGAAAATAGAATTTGTGCAGTTTTTGTTTCAACGATTATGAACTTTTTTGGTCTCTGGTATCAGAACAATCTCTCTTTTTTGTTATGATATAGGTTCAGAACTGGTTCATCCAGTTGGCTAGGCACCCTGTCTCGAATTTTCCGACGCAGCAGAGTTGCCCCCTTCCAGACCCAACCCCAAGACCAACTCGTACCCACGTCAGCATCACCGACCTGGGAAACGGCAACAGCCTTACCGACTACGCTTGAACAATCAGCATCCAACATGCGTCGGGGAACGGTAGTGGGACAAAGAAGAGATGGTCCGGATTTCCGTTCACCTCTCGATCTGATAACATATCATCGACTGAATACTCGAAGAAGTACGTTGGATCTCAGATGTAATTCTCCGTAACATTAATCAAAGCCGGCTAGTGTTCCAGTTTCCACTTGTTGATTTGTATGTAGATGTACATGTAAATGGCAAAATGTTATTATACACAATCTCAACATGTCGTTTCAAAAGCATCTTTAAATTTTAGCCTTTTGGAATCTTCTTCTCTAGATTTCCATCGAAAAAGAGGCACAGGGTACTTCGATCAAACCGGGTTGCCCCCGCTATTGACCCAGCTGGTATGCCTGAGGAGAAATGTGAAGGAGAAATGCACAAGACTACTTCAGTTGATAATTTGGCAGCGTTAGATACAACTATTCTGAACGCGCCGGCTGAAAAGTGAGTTCATGACTGTTCACTGCGACGCTTTATTTAAGTTGAAGGTTTTTTTTTACTTTTTGCTTGTTAAAAATTGCTCGACATTATGCAATGCCAGTCTTATGTGTTCAATTTAAAGCATATGATTTCACTTACTGGTGCTAAAGTTTGAATTAAAGCTAAGATCTGAACCAGAAATTTCGCCTCAATGAATTGCACTTATTACTGGTAAGATTGTTGTTCATCTAAAATTATTACCGTATTAACAATTATGTCTTGGCCATTGATATTTTAGATATTCACCGGAAATGGACGATGAGGATGAAGATGTTGAAGTCCATTCCATCGACAAGAAGGACTTACATCAAGTCTTTAAGAAACCCGAACTCCCACTGATTCTTGGCCGGGGACACAGCAGTGAGGTCCAGCTGATGCGGCTCCGAAGACCAGAGGGAAGCTCCATGCTAGTTGCCGTGAAGACAATCATGGGGTGCTTAACAGATGTCTATCCTGCCATGAACAAGGAGATCAGAGCCCTGCAGGCGGTGGAGCACTGCTCCATATTCCCGAAGCTGGTGGGAGTCGTCGGCAACCAGTCTTTCGCTCAAGAGTTTATCGGAGACCCTCAGTCCAAGCACACGATAAGTGTCTGCGAAGCGCTCTGAGTGAAAGCCCCCATCTCTGTAGAAAACTGGGTCTTGATCATAAATGACGTCATCACTGGGCTTTCTGCCCTCCACAAATCAGGTTGGGCACATTGCGACCTACAGAACAACAACGTGCTGCTGTGCGTAGACAGCAGCCCATCAGACCCCTTGGAGGCCAGGTGGCAGGGACGAATCATCGACCTTGGAAATGCCAAGAGGTTGACCGGTCGCACCAGGTACTGCCTGGATCTTACTCCCTCGGAGAAGGCCGTTTACTATCGTCAGAGCAAGCACATCCCAGCCGAGGTTGTGGAGGGTCTGGTACCTTATGGCGTCAAGTCGGATATCTACAGCTTGGGGGTTATGATGAATGGCGTCGCCTGTCGAGCCCCCGGCATGTCTGAACTGATACTACTGGCTGAGACTTGCTTGTTGGCCGACCCTGGCCAGAGACCGACGTTGGCGGCGCTCATGAAAGAACTGAACGTCTGGTGGCAAGACCAGATTGGGCATGCACGGGTTCTTCCAAACAGCGAAGTAGGGTCATTGAATAATCGTTGAGGTGTAAGATTGGGAATTAAACAAAGTAAGGAATTATCATCTACTCTTTCTAGTTCGTTCCCCTTAGAAGGCTAGACACGCGCGGGTTTAGCAAAGTGCAAGGAAACATAATTTCAGACTAGTAATTTATATCCCACAACTCTATAACTCTCCACCCTCCCTTGTATGAACTATAACCCGTGAGGTTATATAGACAAAGTAAGACAGTAAGAGACGAAGTGGTACTTGGGCTGATGTGGTTTATTCGGTTGGCTGTGACGCTCTCTGTCTGATTTCTTGATTCTACTGGGGTTTTATACAGTAAATGAACATGTTTGGTCAACTTGTATCTGGGGGCAGGGCTAGGCAAATTAATAGAACAATCAGATTTCCTTATAAGTCCGTGGGCTGAGTCACCGTGGTGCAGCCCAGCATCCACCCACGCGGACCTTGTGGCTAAACTGGCCATTTCTTAGATGTGTCTCATTACGAGGAAGAGGGGTCCTGTTCCTTGAAGGTCAACCCATACAACTTATTTAGTAAATATAAAACATGATATTTTATCATGGTGATAGAACTTTATAAGGGGAATAATAATAATAATCCGTATTTCATTGGACTCCATTTTCACACCACAACCGACGCGTAGAAAGTTAAATCCACGTGCGAATTGATGTGCATGTAAGAAGAGATAGCTGATTTTGTATCCAGGGGACTGTTTTGTAACGTTTATTATAGTTTTTATTCATAACTATATTATAATGTTCTTAATTTGTCAAATTACTTATTAACGGTCGTTTTATACATCTATTCTTTAATGGGCAACTCTATCCGCACGATCTGTCATTAAATTGTTACAAAGTCTTCAAATTATATCAGGAGCCTGTTGCCTTGAATCCAAATCCTAGATTTGGGAGTTAGCGCAGTGGCATAACCCCCCCCCCCCCCCCCGGCAGTGGCTTCTGGATCCACACTTGAAGCATCGATTAACAATCAGTGAAAGTTTTCATCAGTGGTTGCAATTTCAGTTTTTGGGGGCCTAACTTTGTTGCACGGATACACACCTTTTAAAGATATACAATCCGTGCTGTTATCGAATTTCAGCCCAAAAATATAACTCTTTTCATGAATTGCTATTTTGTCTGTATTGCAAAAGTTATTCAATTGTTGAATGAGACATCGAAGCAAAAAAAGGTTAGTGGTGGAATAATTTCGATTATATGAGGCCCATCAATATTTTTCGTGAGGAGCACGGACACACCATCTTTAAAATCCCAACAGGGATGCTCAATGATACGTAAAGATCAAGCACGTTCTATATCCGAAATTTATGAGAGGTTTTTTTCCCCCACAAAATAAAGTGGATGTTTTAACAATGTCAATTCTCCTCATAAAACGTCTTCGCATGAACAGGATGACTTATAGCCATGATTTGTTGCTTTTATGGTCCAGCATTTGATGTTTTGAAAACGTGTTAAAAATCAAACCTGTCATCAATCTTAAATAAAACAAAATTGTTTTCAAAATTCTGTTTTCTTAACCTTTGTACAACCGGTCTTTCTAAAAACGTTTGTGGTGTTTTTTTGGGGGGTTTTTTTGGGGGGGAGTGATCTTTTTTTCAAAAGTAAAACTTTCAAAGACTCTGCAGCGTCTAGTTTGATTATGCTTTTTAACTTCCATGATAACCACCGAAGATTGTTTTAACTTGCTAACGAGGCAGAACATACATCGTAAAACGTACAATTTGGTATCAACTCCTCTTTGAAACAGAAATGCAAACTGTCCGCATAGTTGTATAAATAACAAAATAATGAATATAAAATAAGCAGTGAAGTACAATTAGAAGTGAACCTGGGAATGGGAATTTCCCGTCATACTTTTTCTCTTCCCAGGGAATTCATTTTCATTTCACAAAGAATTTCCCAAAGTGGGAAAACTTTTTCACACCTTTCCGCACAAGTGGGAAAACATTTTCATAAAAATGGAAAATGCATATGCGAAAGGGATATTCGAATTGTTTTTTTTTTCAACAACTGTTTTCTCACAATCGGTCACTGTCATTCATCGTGGACCGATTTTTTTCAGTCGATGTCTAGTTCAAGAGAGAATCACTTTTGTATTGCTAGAAAAGTGTACATGACTATAACAAATTAATGTGTAAACGGAAACGAAATTGAATGCATAAATAATGCGAAAGACCCTTGTGTAATTAAACTAAATTCACAAAAAATTATGAATTTGTATAAGCGTGTTATTACATTGAACAAAACGTTGTTAATATACCTCCGTCTATGCTAAGTAATTCTAAGTTAACAGTAGACCTACTAATATTCTAATATCATGAACCACTACAAAATAACTCAGCTATATGCTATACAATTTTTGAATTTATACCTTACAGATAGAGAACAATATATTTAACGGAGGGTGTTAAACACGCTGGAACGATCAGCACTCACTTGACGGAGTGGACATATTTGAGGACGACAAGCGGGATCATGCACACCAACTGCAAACAGCCTAAGAAAATAAATGCAGCGTTGTAACTTCCGGTAGTGTCGTAAATCCAACCTGAGAATAAGAGGGGGGAAAGTAAAATTAGGCCTACATGTACATAAAATAGAGTTTTGTGTTTGTCTTTGTAACAACGCATGGTGATTGGGCATTTTATTTGGTAGTGTCTAACTCAGTTGTTTATACACACTGTCAGCCCCATAACCCACAAAAACTTCTAACATTGCTGCTCAATGAAAATGGTCTATAACGATAGAGGATGTAGGATTGTACTAGCTGCTATCCCGGGGGATGGGGGGCATCCTCAGGGGACGTCAATGGCGTTGTCCCCACCACCCACTCCAAATAACCTGTCCCAAAGTTTAGCCTGAAATTGCAATGTATTCTTCCAAAATGACGTTATAGGCTAGTTGTAAAGTTTGCTTGTGCACAAGCCTTTTCATTGACGTCACACATAAGAGGTGTAAATACACATATAATATGTAAATATTTGTTCATACATCCTGGAACAGCCCCTTCTATAATAATAAGATGGTGTCCACCCCACCCACTCCCACCCCCACCCCATCCCCGCTTTCGAACTTCCATGTTGACAAGAATTTAACGCCGAAGCCAAAGTCGCTTGTATGACCACATGCGATTCATTCAAGGTCTATTTGAGAACACTCTTTACCTGGAATAAAGCCAAAGAACAGCCTCGCCATAGTAGCTTTGACATCCATCCATCCATAGGCACCAGCCAACAATTCCACTCCAAGTACCTGTTTGGCAAGAACGTCATGAAGACAAGCCAAGACACCATCGCAAATGACAACCAGCAACGCCGTCAACATCATCGTCCAATACCAGGCCAGCCAAGGCGTAACAAAGAACGCCAACGAGCTGACGATGATGCATATGACCATCAGACCCCAGCAGGATATTAGCCCTGCGTCTATGATGAAGCCCTGCGACACTTTTGCTAGCAGGTTCCCTACGCCCGCTACGGTGACGAAAACTGCTGCGTCCTCTAATGAGAATCCTTTTGATAGAGCTTGGGACACAAAATAGATCACCCACATGTCGTAGGCAAAGTTAAAACAAACATATATGGCAGCCACCGACCAGTACTGGAAATTGCGAAGAAGCGACAAATCAAAGTTCTTGAAGACGCTCTCCAAACATGCAGCACAAGCAGAGGGAGGAGCTGTTTCTGGCTCGTCTTTGGGGACCTCTTGATAACTGTTGTTCGGCGTTGTTCCATTTTTCCTCATGAGGACACCACAGGGGACAAGATGCATTATCCCTCCACCGATCAACAGCATGGTTCCTCTCCACCCAAACGTGTCGAGGGATATCTGGATCAGAGGCGCGGCCACGACTAATCCAATGGAAGAACCCGTTCGTGCGATACCGCTGGCTTTAGCAAGGTTCTTGTTGTAGCATCGACCAATAGCCTCTTTGGTAAGCACTAGAGGCACAATAAGAGGGGAACCTTCAAGTGGGAAAAAAAAAGAATATCAGATCTCACAAGTATTGCAGTGTTCATCTAGTGAATATCTTTGACTGCATCAAGGCAAAATGACTTTGCTATCCTACCTGCTAACAGCGTTAAAATCATCGTCAGCTGAATTGAAGTTTTTGCGAAGGAACTAGCAATGAAAGCAATGCCAATCATCGCACCGCATATCATGATAACATTTCCCGCTCCAAATCGTCTACCAAGTAACCCTGCCATAGGAGCTGGAATGACAGAATGACGACCAACATATTAGACGGAATTCATGGAGTGATAGGTGCCTTAACATGAGGTACTTAATCCGTCGATGAAGGTGTATGCAATACCGCTCCCATGGTATACTTTCAACCTCAGACAATATGGAGGGAAACTTGCCTCCTGTGTTCTGATTCGATCCAACAATAGCAAGTTATGGACTTACATCGTTTAGTTGGTGATTTTTTTTTTTCATTGTGTATTCTAACAGAACATGAAATGGAAAAGTTGAAATAGTATATAAAAAGAACTATAAAAACATAACTAAATTTAAAAGTTAAAGCAAGATTAAGAGGATTGCAATATAAGAATGTTTTCAAGGGAGACACAGGTGCACTTCCAGAATTTCGTTAAGGACTTATATCTTAATAACAACGATCCATGAATATTTAAAAAAAAAAATACTGCAGATTCGTCTTAAGCTTAAGCTATGCATAGAAGTTGACATCTACTCTACAAACTACAATGTTGTGTGGAAACATAGCGCGTGCTCTATGGTGGTAAATATGAAAGGCACCATATTCTCGAGGAGGAAAGAGAAAAAGGGAAAACGAAAATAAGAATTACCAAACCGATATTATACATGAGCAAAACTGATTTTTAATTTCCATGTAAAGTTAAAAGTAGAAACTGTCAGGAAGGGGTGAAAACACGAGAGAAAAAAAACAACATTATTAAATCACTAAATTAGTTCTAGGAAAAGTGCGTCATGCATCATGCCTACCAACTAAACCTCCCACTGCGACTATCAGTGAAGTCATCCACCCAATGGCCCACGTCGTTGTCCCAAATTGATCTTGTAGTGTTGGCAGCATCATTCCTAGTCCCTTGAGCATCGCCACTCGGATAACACCCCTGGTCCACATCGTCAATACTGCAACCCAACCCATCGATGATGCCTCATCTTGAATCTGACTAACATTAGTATCCCTCATGTTGGATGTCATTTCTCGGTTCCGCAGCCTGTACAAAGTACAGGGGTTACAAAAAGGGAATCGGAAATGTATGGGTTAGAATGTGAAAGTAATAAACTTAAACGTTGTCAAAGTTGTTCAATCTTCACGTTTGGTTTATCAGCATTCTATAATTATGTTATTGTTGCATTTCTGCAATCTTGAGTGACTTAACACCCATAATAATTAAAAGAATGTTAATCCCTCTTTTCCCAAGCCGGCCTGAATTATTGGTATAAACTAGTATCCACTGGATACCCAGACAAGTTAAAAAGCGATTAGACAACAGACTCGGGACTGTTGTGAAAACAATTTCAGCTTTATTTTTCTGAAGTTTTATACACGGTTTTTTTTCTCAATAGATTAGATTCAAGTCCGACAAACAATCCAAGTCTGCCACTAGCAAAGTCCGAGCCAAGCCGTGAGTCCTAGAGGCTATGAGTCTGAACGGAGTCACCAGTCCAAAAACAAATGGACGCGAGTCTGGATAACCTGGAACTCCACATTATGTTATAGAGAATGGACGAGGAACTGTAGATTCGTGCTAAGAATGGACGAGGCGAAGCCGAGTCCATTCTTGCACGAATCTACACTTCCGAGTCTATTCTCTGACTTAAACTATTTCTTAAAACAACAATAGTTTATGCAAATAAGATCCCTGGTTTACCACATTTGTGAATAAGTGTAGATTCGTACAATCTAGTCAACTTTGCCTGGCCCTGTGCTTGCATCGTAACAAGGTCCTATTGTTAACCATTAGGATGGGTGCACATCTTTTGTTCCATTCATCAATTGCACAGTATACATTTGTCCTCATGGTAAGTCACACACACATTCACGATCAGAAGTGTTTAGCGCGAACACACTGTCTTTCCTTACTCCCAAAGCCAAATGGAGTTCGCACTTGCATGTTACAGCTTGAGGATTATACCGGAAAATACTTTGATGCCGTTTTTTTACGGGATTCATGTGAGGAGTTTAATCACCAGGCACAAGAAAAAGTTGGCAAGCAACTCATTTGTACATTTGTGGAACCACATGTCATTGGCCTTTCAATGGGAACCACATTTCTTTACCTTGATATATTGATATGTGTGGAGTAGGCTACACATCGGATTATGCCCATCTCACTCACCACGGGAAATAATTTTGCTTGGAAAATACGTTACATTGGAATATTCTGAGACGTTTATGATTGGGTAAGTTTCATTTGATTTCGTTAGTTAATCGTCCATTCTATTTATGATTGTCAGTTTGCTAACAAAAGATGTGCACATATTCTTTAACCGAAGGGTATCCACTGATTTTTTTGATAATGCAAATTTAAAGACAAAAAAATAAAATTGAATTCTTAGCATCAATAAAAATTTCAGCATTAACATAAAGATAATAATATAAAAATACAAAAATAAGACTCAAGATAAAAATAAAGGGAACTGCAAATAACATAAAAAGGGAATATTTTACACTGCGCTTTAGGTTAACATTTATAATTTATTAAAAATATTGGCACGGCAAATTAAAAGTCAAACGAGAACATTTTGTGTAAAAATTTAAAAAAACTAAAGTAGTACTTGTATGGTATTTATCAAAATCAGGTACACGTCAAATTCTTTCGAAATTTTTTTAGTACCATTGACATTTCTTTTTCTTTTCATTATAATGGACTGAAACTTGAAAAAAAAAATTAGTGCCGGAATTATACATGGAATTATACAGTGCCGGAATATACATGGAATTGTTCACAACAAAAACTGTGGATTCTTAAAATAATCTACAGTTAGGTGTATATTCTCAAAATAATCTACAGTAAAGTGTAGATTCGAGAAAATAATCTACACTTTTAACAATTGTGTGACGTCACAGAAATAGGTTAATATAGAGGAACCAACACTGGATAAACAAAATCATATATCCTTGATATCTCCAGATCATCCAAATCCTAAAACTTTGGTTCTATACAACTACTTCCACCACTCGGTCATACGGACTCCGAATTTATTGAGTAGCCCGGTTCTCAAGAACCCATGTGGCTGATAATTCCTGCATAGGACGAAAATGCATTCCCGCTCACCCAAAGGTAAAAGATACATTTCCTCATGGCCATCAAACCCCCGAACGCAGGGGTTTACTTTTACATACATCATATTAGTTACTCAATCAGTGTCTGTTTCCCTCCACCCAATTGTAGTCTAAGCTGACCGGCAAACGGAGAAACTAACTACAACGAAAATATCTCACCCGTTCACAAGTAAAAATGTGTTCAGTCTAAGACAAAAGTGTCTCTGAATGGGTGAAAGTAACATATTTCCTTTTATTTAACTTAACTTTCTAACTTTGAAATACTTACTTGTTATTATCAGAATTCTTTTACGATACACGCTGTGTAGTTCAGGAAAATGTGTGATAGCAAATAGGCGTATGTACAACTCAGTGCTGACCATACACACTGAGTTCGCGGAAAGGTAGATTCAGATAAGCTCAGCCAGCAGCTATTTGTCGCACTCGCTCCACTGGACGTGAAAAGTACGTAGTGTCGGATACGGGTCAGTAAACATTAACAAAAATGTATATATCCTTTCGAATTTTTTCTTCCTGTGTGTGTATTGTTAAAGGCCTTGGGCCGAATTCATAAAAACTAGTAATTGCTAGTAAGGCCAAAAAAAATAATAAGTCGGTCTCTGTTCAGCGCGCGCGTCGATTTTAATCATGCGCGTCGATCTTTTTTTCCAAAATGTTCCGCGGTAGCTCCAACAGCGCCCTCTATTTCCGCACCTCCTCAATTTTTTTTGCCAAAGAGCACCAAGGAATGGGAAATTGCACCAAGGCAAATGATCGAAAGCACCAAGGCAAATTATGGAGGACACCAATGTACATGAGGACACCAAAAAAGCAAAATAGTATCCCACCTTGTCTGTACAATCCGAGCTTGAAGAAAAAAAAAAGCAACAACAAAAAAAAAGCCGCATGGCCGCGTCCATTCCGGAACTTTTGGTCTGACCAGAGACCGATTTTTTTTTTTTTTGCCTAAGCAGAGGCACCAAGCAAAAGCAAAAGTTCATCAAGCAGAAGCTGAAGCAAAAGCAATTGCTTAAAAACGTATAAATAACCTTTTACTTTGACTAATAGCTGTTTCTCAAGCTTCAAACCCGGCCTAAATGTTTGGGACACTTCTTGAGCCTGCCAATGTCACCCACTCCCCCGCTCCTCCGGTCAATGTTGTTCTCTCCAGCTGATGGAGCACACACCGCGCATTGAGAGACAAAATTGAACGGGGGCCTACGCCGGCCAAATCACGATTTACATGTCCCTATAATTATTCAGTATTTGAGCACATTGTGGGCCATGAACTTGAGGATTCGTACAAAATAAGGATGGGAGCCGTGCACTGGAACGTGAGCTTGTGTTTCTGTACAATTTGGATGAAATTGGGGCCCTAAAAGCGCTCTCTTCTGCAATGGAGACCGTTTTTCAAATGGCGATGGGCCTCGGGACTGTATTTTAAGGGATGACTATATTCGGGTGGAAGTTTCTCCCAAAAGTCATCAAGTTAGAGAAAGACCATGAAATAAGCTTTAAGTTTGAAGTAAGTCTCGAACACCTTGGAGAGTAAATTGTGAGTATATTTCCAGACTTTCTGAAGTGGAGCCATTTATCATTGGGGTCTTTACTGCACCCATAGTGACGCTGTTAAAAGCGGGCCCTTATATGGACGCTCTCGGACAGTAGGTGGCGCTCTTCATCGCTGCCGACTGACGTGACTCGCTTTTTCCGATGATGTCGCCGGCCCCTTCGCGCTCCCCTTCCCCCCCCCCCCCCGACTCGCTTTTAAAATCTGTAGCCGGTTGGAAGAACAACAAATATCAAGCAGCGGCATCAATTTTTAGAGATCTTCGAAATACTGCATCTTCACGCACACATTTTTTAAATAAAGTATGACATTTTTAAAAGTTGGCAGATAGAGCCCACGTGCCTTTTTAAAATTTTGAATTTTCTTTACCGAACGAAATATGAAGGACTATTATGTCACAATGTTACAAATCAATTTGCTTGTTTGAGTTTGCAGGCCTTTACTCAGATTTGAAAGTTGGCTTTGACTGACGCGCTCCATTTCTGAAATTGCGAAAACTACTTAAAACGAATTAAGAGCGTCCCGCTCTTAATTCGAAAGTTGAAATTAAATAATTGATTGCTTGGTATGGGCCGATATTTTTTCGTGCGATGTCTCATTTGAAAGCTCATTGAAATTTACGATTTGTGGGATTTAATTCCATTTGTAATTGTAAACAACATAGTTATTAACGATCATGAGTAAGCCTTTTTTTGACACGACGTATGGAAAGACGTCGCGCCGGCAGATACTATCAAATTCTAGCACTGTACAAGAGTCGCCCAGGCCCCTTAAACAATTGTTTTCATAGAAATTATATGGAAATAATGTGAAACTGCGCCCAAATAGTTTGGTGCGAGCCCGGCCCCCGCCCCCTGATTTTCGGAGGCCAAAATGTCCGGAGAAAAAACCTGTCTACATTGAAAATGTGTTTGCTAATGAACTCCCCCCTGCCAAAATTTCTGGTTCTGCCCCTGCCGCCTGTTGGGTTCCACGCTTTTGGCGGGTCATTAATATTCATCATCGGCAGTTTTTCAAGGTGTCACAAGGCAGCTTATGAACGGACGAGCCATCGGCTGAAATTCTGCTGCCTAGCTGCTTGGTCGTGGCCCATAGGCCTTCCCACATTCTGGGGACTCCAACAATAATTGCTTACCCTATTTCATTCTTTCATCCTACATGAGCTACAGAAACTTAATTTGGGTCAAAATAGTGGTAAGTCGATATCACATTTCATATCAATGTACCAACTTACGTCAGAGGTGGATCTAGTAACTTTTGCTGGGGATGGGTTGGGAGGAGGGGGAGTGGTTCAGGCCCGTCAGATTCAGATACACATGTACATACTTTATTGTGTCAGAGCAGGAGAAGGGTTCGACCCCCCCCCCCAGCCCCTCTGGGTCCGTGACTGCATGTCACTGACAGTCAAAGGCAAGTCTGTAAAAGCCCAATGTTATGGAATTTTCCAAATCAATCCTTAAGGTAAATTGGGGTTTTCCACTTGACTTTGTTTTTCTATTTTGTATTTCCGGTTTTAATGGTGAGGGGCTTTGTTTTCTTGTGTTTTCCTATTTTGCGAATAACTATATATTTGGGGAATGATCACAGTTAAAGAAACTATTATTTACGAAATAAAATTTTTGAAACGTAATAAACACATTACAATGTACATTTTTATTTTTGCCCTGTACAATATTGCATACTGCGTTTCTTAATTCAATTGAAAATGCGACATTAATAATGGCATATTCATATTGATCGAACAAAACTTCGTTTTGATTATAGTCAATTATTAAAAATTCATTGATTCATTACATAGACCTTTGCTTTGTTTTAATACTACCGTAGGTCTACCGAGCAGATGTAATCATCAAACTTATTAAACCAAAGTTTAAAAAATAGAGGCTAAAAAAAATTCAAAAAGTTATGTGCTAGCCAAGCATTCAGGGATCGGTCTGAGCCATAACAGTGCCCCAGCCAATCCCTTAGGGCTCTTCCGGGATACCGGCGTTCCCGGCCAATACACACTTCCTTCCCTGTCCATCCATGTAACCCCGGAGGGTATCGGATTCGATGCCGGGTTCCGCGATTCGTGGACGACGGATCTAACCACTCGGCCACCAGGCTTCCTCAATTCTCCTCAAAAACAATTTGTCTTAATAATAGGCGAAGAAACCTGGAACATTGCTGTGTGCATCTGTTTTGGCTTCATGGACGAACAGAATTGAAGTCGATGTTTCGGGCAGTAATGAGTCAACTGTTTTCATTTGTTTGGACAATTGTATACGGCAGCCTCGTTAGTAGTAGGCCTACACGTGCGCTAAACATACTTATCGTTACGCAACAATGAACACTATTATTATGTAGGCTATTTTGAATTTTGGCGGGGGGGTTCAGGCCCGTTAGATTTCTATATCCGATCTTATCATGTTTGTCATTTTCAGCCTATATTGTGTGTGTCAGAGCGGGGGTGTCCTGCTGGTTGGGGAGGGGGTGGGGTTCGAACCCCCTGTGGATCCGCGCCTGACTTCTACTGTTTGTATTTGGAGAGATACAGATTCTCAACTCCATCACTACTATTTCAACAAAATACGGACGTTTTGAAAAAAAGGAAACGATAATTTCTTTTTACAGATTTGTTTGGTTACACTGTTAATCAGGCCTCTATGCCTATTCCGTTCGCTGTTCCCAACAGTCCTTCACCAGGCTGTAATCAAACATTATTTTCCTGAAAAATAAAGTAAACATTACGTTCTCATCCTTACTTCAAAAAAAAAATATACACGAAAACAACGATGTGCCACGATGTGCCTCCTTTATGATAGCGCTTAGTACGAACCCCGGCCCTGCAAACAGGGCCTTGGGCGCTGGGCCGGGAAGGGCTAGGCTGATGAGCTTCACAGAATCTTGTGAAGGAAGTAGGGATAGCATTTTGGGAAGCTTATCATGCCCTATATATAAAGACATAATTAAAGCTGCTGTAGCTTTTAAAGGGTACATGCTAGTCTGGTTCCCTAACCCCATTGACTTGAAAAATATCTTTAGGTGAGTCTACAATCCCGGCCAAAATGATTGGGACACTTCCTGAGCCTAGCAACAGTCATCCACAACCCCCGCTCCCCCGGTCAATGTTGTTCTCTCCAGCTGATGGAGCACACACTGCACAATGACAGACAACATTGAACGGGGGCCGGGGGAGGGTGGGGCCCAGCGAGATGCGGCCAGGATTTTAGCCAAGTGATTGCTTTTAGGTTCTTAATAAAGCGCTATCATGTGTGATGAGGCATGCGTAAATGTGAAGCTTTTTTATAGAAGCAGGTTTGCTTTCCCCACACAATTTCCAAAATGGCTGCACAGAGTGATGATCAAACTGCTGTCCAATGTGATCAACAAGAGGTTGTCTTTTGGGGGGGATTTTTTTTAAGCCCTACGATTTGACGTTGGCGATATATATGTGGCCTATTTTAGTAAAATAGGGGTGTAAATGCCGCCACCAACGTCAGAATAGTCCACCCAAAAAAAAGAAAACACAATTTTTGTATGCGGCCAAATTTTGGGCAACATTTTTTTTTTTTATAAAGAACTAAAAATGTGAGCCCCTCCCAAAGACACATCCTGGGTGCGCCACTGCAACAAGTGAGTGCAGTAATCATCCAAAACTACCCTGAGCTGTTAGACAAATCTCAACTACCAAGTAGCAAGGAAAAGAAATGGAGGGCTCTTCAGAATGCCAAAGCAACAATTGCTACAAACACCGGGAAAACAAGGATGACAAACAAATATTGACCAAGATTGCCAACATGAACGCACAGGTCAAGAAAAAAACGGACGCAAATGAAACGGGTAATCATCCAGTATGACCAACCAGTGTTCCTGTCTTCGACGCACCGAAAGGGCAAGAAAACCCTACCATAAACAAGATGGCTTCCGCAATTTCAGCGGGAGTTTGTTCCTCCAGTTGCGCTTCTGCCTATACCCCCGTTGGGGGTTTGTATTTTTTTTCTAAAGTTTTCTTCTTCTTTTTACTGTAATTTTACATTCGTTAGAAAATGATTTGATCAAGTATTGTTGCGTTTACCATTCTATCTTACTGAATATTAAAGTCCCACCCAACATGTGTAGCTAAGTCTGTATTGCACAGAATTAAAGAGCAGTTGCATCACTTTATACATCAACATTTTGTGTTCACTGAACACTATTTTAATCATGACAAATCTGTCCAAAATGAAATATACAAATAAGACAAAGACATCTTTGAACCATTCTCTAATACTCGTATTTGAATTTTCAATACCGTACTCGATCTACATTGCATACAAGTATATCGTTCTAAAGTAAGTTAAGGTTGGATTGGAGATTTCTTCTTGATTAATTCTTGGATTGTACACCTTATAGGCCGAGCCCGGTCGTCTCTAACGGGCATAAACATGATGAAATCTTCTCTGATGTCTGTAATATCACTAAAGCTACCATGTGGGGATCTTATAACACTACAAGCAATTGCTGAATAACACAAGCAAAAGGCTGTTTTATGTATACGTTTTTAGGCAATTGCTAATCAAGGTGGCATTTGCTTGCAAGAAACAAGCTTTTGCTTTTGCTTAAAACTAGAAACTTTGACTTGCTAGCAGTTACTTATTTTTATGTATGAAGATGTAAGCAAAAGCCTAGAAAAAAGCAATTGCTAGTTTTTATGAATTCGGCCCAATCAGGTTGTTGGCATTTTTTTCCTGGCAACGCCGAGGCAACTTTTGTTGACGCAACTTTCATGTCGCACGCGGCAATTTGAGGCAACGCGCGCAATGAATTGCACGCACATCGGGCAATCAATCAGGACAAATATACAAATTTGTGAGCATGTTATTACATTGAACAAACCTTTGATGATTTGGCGGGGAAATGCTATTATTAAAGGAATATTGCTCGCAGAATAAACTTCCGTCTATGGAAGTACTATAGTTACGTATTCTAAAATCATAAATCACTACAAGATAACTCAGCTATACGCCATACAATTTCTGAATTTATACAGATATAAGAAGAATATATTTTAACGGACAGTGTAAAACACGATGGAACGATCAGCACTCATTTGACGCAGCGGAAATATTTAAGGACGACAAGCGGGATCATGCACACCAACTGCAAACAGCCTAAGAAAACAAATGCAGCGTTGTAACTTCCGGTAGTGTCGTAAATCCAACCTGGGAATAGCAAGAAAAAAGTAACATTACATGGCATATCAAAAAAAGTTAATGAGTATAGCTTGCATTGTAAAAAAAAAACATTACAAGGTGAGTCAATAAACCAAAGTAAAATTATGACAGGGAGATGGAGGGCTAAGAAAACAATTTTGAGGGAACGAAATATTTTTTTTACCCTGTCCCCTTACGGGCTCCGTATTTACTAGTACATTCATTATTCAAATTTAAAAAAAAAAGAGGTGTGCGTTTGTCTTTGTAACAAACGCATGGTGATGGGGCGCAGATCTATTTCATTTGACGGTGTCTAACTAGGTTGTTTATATACACTGTCAGTCCCATCACCTAAACAAACTCTAACATGGCTGCTCAATGAAAATGGTCTATAACGATAACGGACGGACGGGGGATGGGGGCATGCTCGGGGGACGTCAATAGCATTGTCCCCACCACCCACTCCAAATAGTTTGTCCCACATTTTAGCCTAATTTACCTAAAGTTGCAATATAATTTTCCAAAATAACGTTATAGTTGCAAAAGTTTTCTTGTGCACAAGCCTTTTTTATTGACGTCTCACATAAGAGGTGTAAATGCATATGCCAATATTACATCCTAAAACAGCCCCCCCCCCCTAATAATTAGTTGGTGTCCACCCCACCCATGCACCCACCCACCTCCACCCCCCCCCCCCCACCCCCATCCCCGCTTTCGAACTTCAAATCTGCTGCCTTCCCCATGTTTACAAGAAATCGCTGCCGCTGGCTGCATGCGGTCATCAAAGCCAAAGTCGCTTGTATGACCATATGCAATTCATTCAAGGTCCATTTGAGAACACTCTTCGAGAACACTCTTTACCTGGAATAAAGCCAAAGAACAGCCTCGCCATAGTAGCTTTGACACCAATCCATCCATAGGCACCAGCCAACAATTCCGCTCCAAGCACCTGTTTGGCGAGAACGTCATGAAGACAGGTCAATACACCATCGCAAACGACAACCAGCAACGCCATCAACACCATAGTCCAATACCAGGCCAGCCATGGCGTTAAAAAGAACGCCAACGAGCTGACGATGATGCATATGACCATCAGACCCCAGCAGGATATTAGCCCTGCGTCTATGATGAAGCCCTGCGACAGTTTCGCTAGCAGGCTCCCCACGCCCGCTACGGTGACGAAAACTGCTGCGTCCTCCAAGGAGAATCCTTTTGAAAGAGCTTGGGACACAAAATAGATCACCCACATCTCGTAGGAAAAGTTAAAACAAACAAATATGGCAGCCACCGACCAATACTGAAAATTGCGAAGAAGCGACAAATCAAAGTTCTTGAAGACGCTCTCCCAACATGCAGCACATGCAGAGGGAGGAGCTGTATCAGGCTCTTCCTGGGGAACCTCTTGATAGCTGGTGTTCGGCTTTACTTCATTTTTTCTCATCAGGGCACCACAGGGGACAAGATGTATTATGCCTCCACCGATCAGCAGCATGGTTCCTCTCCACCCAAACGTGCCGAGGGATATCTGGATCAGAGGCGCGGCCGCGATAAATCCAATGGAAGTACCCGTCCGTGCGATACCGCTGGCTTTAGCAAGGTTCTTGTTGTAGCATCGACACATAGCTTCTTTGGCAAGCACTTGAGACACAATGAAAGGGGGACCTTTAAGTGAAAAAAAAGAATATCAGATCTCACAAGTGTTGCAGTAGTTCATCTACTAGTAAATATCTTCGACTGCATTAAGGCAAAACGACGTTGTTATCCTACCTGCTAACAGCGTTAAAATCATCGTCAGCTGAATTGAAGTTGTTGCGAAGGAACCAGCAATGAAAGCAATGCCAATCATCGCACCGCATATCATGATAACGTTTCCCGCTCCAAATCGTCTACCAAGTAACCCTGCCACAGGAGCTGTAATGACAGAATGACGACCAACATATTAGACGGAATCGATGGAGTGATAGGCGCCTATACATGAGGTACCTTATCCGTGGATGCCGGTATTATGTAGGGTATACTTTCATCCTCCAGATTATATGGAGAGAAATGTTCCTCCTTGTGTAACGTTCTGATTCGATCCCGCAATTTACATCGTTTAGTTGGTGATTTTATTTTCATTGTGTATTCTAACAGGACATGAAATGGAAAATTTGAAAAATACAAAAAATAACTAACTTTAAAACTAAAGCAAGCTTAAGAGGATTTGCAATAAAAGGAATTGTTTCAAGGGAGACAAAGGTGCACTTCCTAAAATTTCGTTCACGACTTCTATCTTAATTAGAACGATCCATGAATATTAAAATAATACTGCAGCTTCGTTTTAGCTTAAGCTATGTTGATACCTACGCTACAAACTATACAATGTCATGCAGTGGCAACATTAAACATAGAACGTGCTCTATGGTGGTAATATGAAAGGCACCGTATTGTCGAGGAGGAAAGAGCAAAGGGAGAAACGAAAAGAAGAATTACCAAACCAAAATTATTCATGAGAAAAAAAGATATTACTTCCCATGTAAAATTCCAAGTAGAAACTGTCAGGAAGGGGTGAAAATACGAAGAAAAAAAACATTATTAAATCACTAAAGTAGTTTTAGGAAAAGTGCGTCATGCATCATGCCTACCAACTAAACCTCCCACTGCGACTATCAGTGAAGTCATCCACCCAATGGCCCACGTCGTTGTCCCAAATTGATCTTGTAGTGTTGGCAGCATCATTCCTAGTCCCTTGAGCATCGCCACTCGGATAACACCCCTGGTCCACATCGTCAATACTGCAACCCATCCTGCCTGAGCCCTGTCAGGTTCTGATGGCTTGATCGATGATGCCTCATCTTGAATCTGACTAACATCAGCGTCCCTCATGTTGGATTTCAGTTATTGATTCAGCAACCTTTACAGGGGTTTTACAAAGGGAATCGGAAATAGGTTTATATATGACAGTACTATAAGTAAACGTTGTAAAAGTTGTTCAATCTTATCAGCTTTCTAATTACCATTGTTGCATTCTCTTGATTGACTTAACAGCCGTGATCCAAATATAAATGTAAACCCCTCCTTTCCCAAGTTGACCTGAATTAGTGGTCATTTTAAAGTTATCAAACCCCACAAGCTTGACCACTAATCCTGTAATCCCTTTAATTATAAATGGCCAACCACAAATACAGGCTTTTGCGCACCAAAAAGTCCTATCGAACCTGCTTCTCTTTTCCAATAGTTATAACCTGGATGGACTGATTGAAGCTGACCCCACACTGGAGGATAATATTCATGAATGTTGGATGTCATTTCTCGGTTGAGCAGCGTGTTATACAGGGGTTACAAAAAGTGAATCGGGAATGTATGGGTCAGAATGTAAAAATAATAAACATAAACTTTTTCGAAGTTGTTCAATCTTCACGTCTGGTCAGCATTCTATAATTATGTTATTGTTACATTTCTGCAATCTTTAGTGACTTAACACCGTGATACGTTAAACAATGTTAACCCCTCTTTTCCCAAGTTGGCCTGAATTAGTGGTAATTTGGCGCTTTTATGAGAAGGGCTCGATTTCGCAGTATTGTAACTAATGTCCGCTGGACACCCAGACAAGTTAAAAGCGATGAGACAGCAGACGCGGACCAATGTGAAAAAGAATTTCAGCTTTATTTTTCTCAATTTTAAACTTAGGTTTTTTTTCAATAGACTAGATTCAAGTCCGACAAGTTATCCGAGTCAGCCACTAGCCGAGTCTGGGCCAAGCCGTGAGTCCTAGAGGCTATGAGTCTGAACGGAGTCACCAGTTAAAAAAACAAATGGACGCGAGTCCAGTTAACCTGGAACTCCGTATTAGCATAGAGGAAACAACACTGGATAAACAATATCATACCTGTCCTTGATATTTCCTGATTATCCAAATCCTAAAATCTTTGGTTCTATACAACTACCTCCACTACTCGTTCATTACATACCTATCTAATGCCTTTTTCTACACAACACAAACCCAAGATAGGCTTTACTTCTTGTGAGAAATAATGTTCCTTCCTCACTTTAGGTATTTAAAAGATAAAATGAGATTGAAAAACGCTCACCGAGATTCGAACTCGGGTCACCTGGTTAGAAGTCAGGAGCCATATTCATGAAACCTTTAATACTAAGCCTAGTTGGTTACTAAAAACGCATGTAGTTGCTTATTCAGCCTAGTTGGTTACTAAAAAGGCATGTAGTTGCTTACTAAGCCTAGTTTGCTAACTAATTGGTATTCACGAAACATTACTAGCGTTAGTTACATTCCAAGTTTCTTATTGATCCAGGGTAACTCTAAGGCACTAGTTAGCAAATATATAATTTTTTGTTGTGCCAGACTTGTCTCTTTATCTGGTTTTCGCCCTCCGGTTGCCTTCTTTGACTTTCTCGAACTTGACAGGCATTCTCTTGACTCTGATTTTAATTTGGATAATCTAATTTTTAAATCACCCAATGACCTTTCAACCTGTGGAAATCTTGCACGGTGTTGACTGAGAAAAGCTGTCCATGCATCTTTCTTTTTCTTGTTAGTGTTTGCATCCTTATGCTTAGCATCAATAATATCTTTTAATTCCTCGTACTTGTCTGTCACAAACAGATTCTCTTCTTGAGAATAATTTGCCATCCTTGCCCTTTTTGTAGCCACATGTCTGAAAACCTAGCTTTAAAGGCAGTTGCTACGGAATTTGATGTTGATTCACTTACATGCATTACACTATACAACATACAGTGTGTATAAAAAGAAATGATACGTTTAGAGAAAAAAAAATAATGTTTAATAATCATCTATATACGCTCAAAGAATGATTGTTTCTACACACAATGCTGTTTTCCCATCTCACTTGGACACCTACATCTAGACAATTAATTGAAAGGGATGATAATCAATGTGGTCCAATTTGCAGCAAAGTGGATGAAAGGAGATGAACATGCCAGCAATCTCTCTGTTGGCCAACTTACGTATTATTCTGACAATCAATAGTTATAATTTGGAACTTATGATTCAATGATTATCTTAGTCGGTGACATAATATTTGGAGTATAAGTTTAGGATGTTCCAACTCAATATTGATTGGCAAAGTACAACAGGTAAATGTAATTGCAAGTGTTGTATCAAGCAAAGCATGTCATTCCTTCCAACATGGTTGGTAACCATCAAGCACAGCTGAGAATGAGTTCCTAGTAGTGCAGAAAGTGGACCAAGCAGAAATTGACATGGGCCACTAAATTTAACATGACTTTTTTTTATCAGAACACCCAAATAACACAGAAAAAAATAGGATAGGGAAGAAAGTGTCTTCACTAAATTTATGAAGTAAATTGAACACATTGAATATTTTTTTCACTTAATAATCTTCCCATGTATCATTTTTGATACACACTGTATTGTATCTGTTGTCATCACATTCCATACATACCCACTCCACCAGCACCCAATTCCATTACTCACGCATGCAACTAAATTTCCCTAGTGTTAGCAAGGTTCTTAGTAATGTTTCATAAAGTACAATTTAGTTGCCAACTCCATAGTAGACTACTAGGCATTTTAGTATCCTACTAAGGCCTGGTTGGCTGCTAAGTTCGTAAGGTTTCATGAATATGGCCGCAGGACTACTTCCAACCAGTCCACGATTCAGCTCCCAATCGTCGGTGATTTAAACAACATTATTCCTTGTTATATTATTCTCGAAAGCACTGGACATCATGAATATGCATAACGCAGGGCGAATTCCTCTTTGATATTGTCCGATCTCGTTTGAGGGGAAAAATCGTTTCCTGCTCACCCAAAGGCAAAAGATACATTTTCTCACGGCCATCAAACCCCCACACGCAAGGGTTTATTTTTACATACATCATATTAGTCACCCAACCAGTGTCAATTTCCCTCTACCCAATTGTTGTCTTAGCTGACAAACGGAGAAACTGACTACAATGTACAACGAAAATCACTCACCCGTACACAAGTAAACATGTGTACCATTATTACCCTTAACCTAAGTTTATAACTTTGAAATACGTACCTGTTTTATCAGACTACTGTTACGATCCAAACTGTAGTTCAGGAAAATGTTTGAAACCAAATAGGTGTATGTACAACTCAGTGCTGAATGTACTATAATGAATGTTGCCTACCCGTACAAGCATTGTGTGTTTATAAGCTTACGGTGGCCCTGGAACGACATTTTAATATTGACCTTCTTAATGTGAACCTTGTAACCTCTTAACATTGACGTTGTACCTTCGCAATATGCACATTGCACGTGGCTTAATATCGCACTTTGGAAGTTGTTCCTTTTTAATGTGAATGTTCCAACTTGTTAATAATCACGTTCGATCTTGTCAATGTACACCATTGATCATGCTTGATGTCAACGTTGCACCTTGTCAGATTGAAACTCCATCATAACTGGTTGTTTAACTATAGGGCTTGACTAGGACTTCGTATTTTTTAGAATGCATGATTCACATTGCGAAGGAGGACGGTTCAACAATGATATTAACAAGATGCAAGGTCAAACGTTCACAGTGCGAAGGTACATGGTTCATATTGCGAACATCAATGGTGTACATTGACATGATCAATGGTGTACATTGACAAGATCGAACGTGAACATTAACAAGTTGGAACATTCACATTAAGAAGGAACAACTTCCACAATGCGATATTAAGCTACGTGCAACGTGCATATTGCGAAGGTACAACGTCAATATTAAGAGGTTACAAGGTTCACATTAAAAAGGTCAATATTAAAATGTCGTTCCAGGGCCACCGTATAAGCTTCTTTGTGGGGCTGCTACCTCAAGCGAACTCAACTAACTTCAATTTCAACCACATGCACACTGAGTTCGCTGACGAGTAGATTATTGTTACCCAACAGTACCCCCCCCCCACCCCCGCGTGACGAACACAAAGAGGCGGACGGCCTCCGTCGCAAATTCAGCTACAAACGGATACGCTCAGCCAGAAGCATGTTTGTCGCACTCACTCATTTCATACTGGAAGTGACAAGTACACGGTGTCGAGACGGGTCAGTAAACATTAACAAAATATGAATATCTTTTACAACTGTTTCTTGCTGTGTGCGTATTGTTATTCACAAGTTATGTATTGGCGAGTGATGGGGGGACCGAGGGGGACATACCTTTCCCAATATGTTTGGTCGAGGTGTCGCGGGCAAAGTGGGAATCCGCACAAAGTTGGAATTCCCAAAACATACATATTGCCAATTGTACGAAGTTTTCAACGTTCTTCGACGATTGTCAGGCGAACATTTACACATAAACATACTGTGCCCATGCCAAACATCCAAACTACCCATATTCCTTCATTGCACTGCTACTGAACCTGGTCAAGTGTGAATTTGCGTCAATTTAGGTGTAAATGCTGAAGATAAGGGGTGTTGAACTACTGAACCTGAGCAAAGTGCACTCTCAAAACGCTGGTTAAAATTTTGTTGGTTAAAATTTTAACCAACGTTGTGTAAAATTGTCCAATTTTGCCCAACGTTCGCCCAACGTTGGGCACATTTTGCCCAATGTTGGATAATTTTTTTAACCAACTGTTGGGCTGTTCACCTGTTAAGCATTAATTGGTTAAAAGTTGTCTTTTTACCCAATACTCGTTAATTGGGCAAAATGTGCCCAACGTTGGGTAAATGTTTGGCAAAATTGGACAATTTTACACAACGTTGGTTAAAGTTTTAACCAACAAAAGTTTAACCAGCGTTTTGAGAGTGTACCACTTAAGCACTACCCTTTAAAGGGGCCGTCGGAGCTATACACATTTGTTACATTGAACTTCTAGCAGTTGACTGTAAACATGACTCCTGCTGCAGCATGGCCTGCATATGTCAAGTTATTTTTTTGGAAGCCTGTCAGAAGTTGAACTTGTGGAAAAAATGAACTTCGGTCAGACGGATTGTAAATATCTATTATCAAAACCTTTGTGAGCACATATTTGCACGAACGATCGCTGGCAGCAGTGTTAATATTTTTGGCAGAAGACGAAAGCATAATGGTGCGAGGTATACTTGTAGCGTTTGTGGTGGCGGTGGTTGCAGTGGCGATCTATGTAGTGCTCGAGCCTATCCCTCAGGGTGTAGACAGCCCATGGACGGTGAAACTTGCTTCGATAACTATCATGATTGTAAGTATGCGTTAGTATCTTATGTTTGTAATATAATGTCGTATATTACGAGGTTGGACACTTGGACTGGCCATAAACCCTATGAATGAGGCCCACGTTGTGTATAATAGGCCTACACAAGATCATTTTTCTGCGATGTCTTATTTCCCAAATATTTCAAATGTGGGCTGTCGTCACTTGACATTCACTCTTTAGGCTCACTATGGTGACCTGTCGGTGATTTGGGAAATCTTATCTACGTAAAAACGTCTTAGCCTCATTAGCCTTCCCTCATTCTTATAAGTTGATGGCTTGGGTAGTGGGTTTACATCAAACCAAGTATTTTATTTCTTGGTGGGATTAACGAAAATGTATCAATGAAATACGGCTCTAAGAAAAAACGAACAGAGCTTGTGCATATTATGCTATATCTATATTACTTTTGTTAAGTCTGATTATGGTATGATGGCCCTACCGACCGGCATCAACGACTGGCTGGATGAGCGATCCAGAGCAGACTCACGGGCATCCGAGCCGCGAGTACCGTACAGAGACGCGGTGTTTGACAGGGTACCAGTCCGGATATTTGCCGATGAGCCGGTGGGAGGGGAGACCGATAAACGGCCGGCCATCGTCTTCTTCCACGGCGGAGGTTTCATATCTTGTAGCGTAGGTAAGATCTCCAACATCTAACTTTTAATTTTTGGCCATTATGGTGTCTAACAACGCAACAACTCTAACAAAAAAGTTTGGTAAATGGTTGGTATGTGGCCCAATGTCGGGCAACATACCAAATGCTTACACTCTTAATTAACCTACGAATTAACCGACAATGACAACACTTCCTACCAATGTTTGGCAAATAACGTTGCCCAATCGCCCAACTGTGTTTTAGCCAAACTTAGTTTTAAATGCATTGGTTAAAAATATGGCCTTAGTTATGGAGATGAAATTTGCTGTCATCATTGGATTTTTTTTTAGCGGGGCAGTGTAAATAATACTTGAAAAGTAATATGAAAACATAGTATGTGATACAGCTATGTTCAAAATGAGGATATAATTCCCAATTAAGTAAAAAGCCTTTATGTTTGATATTTAATAGGAATGATCGGTAGTGCGTGCTGGATATGTGAAATTAATCTGTTATATGGGATCCCTCAATTCGTCATAACCGCCCGTTTAATGATCCAATAAACGTTCATTTCTCCAGATGTCCATCATCCGCTAACAGCGATGTTGGCAAGGGAACTGAACGTTGTTGTTGTTTCTGTCGAGTAAGTTAACAGTCTTTATCGGTAACTTTTCTTCAGAAATTTATTTTTGCCCTCTCCCCGCACAAATCCTGCATTATGGTAAAGACACTATTAATGTGTAGTCTGCCGAGTTTGAGGTAATTTGAGTGCATTACTTGGTCGTTCGTACAATACTGTCCATGCCATGCTTCTTTTATGCCTCATCATCAGATTTGTGTGTATACATTTTTACAGTTACCTTTTGGCGCCAAAATATCCATTCCCCGCGGCAATAGACGACTGCACAGCTGCCACGGTCTGGTTCCTGAAGCACCTGAGCGATTTCAATGTCGATCCTGCGAGAGTTGCCATCATGGGCGACAGCTCTGGTGGCAACTTGGCTGCAGCAGCGGCTCAACGTTTAACCTTTGACCCAGAGTACCGCGATCTGCCCACGCCCAAGCTGCAAGTCATGATCTATCCGTGCTTACAGGCGTTTGATTTCCACACGCCTTCCTATCAGCAATATGGCGACTACAATACACTTATATTGAAGAGAAGATATATGGTGATGGCTTGGAATAAGTATCTTCTTGGTAATAAGGGTGACTTCACTGAGGCAATGATGATCAATAACCACACGTCGGCTGCTGCCAAAAGCTCCCCGTTGGTTAAGAAATGCCTGTCACACGATCTCATCCCAGACGAGTTCAAGAAATCCAACTACAGAGTGCCCTCAACCGACTTCGGGGATGAAGACATCTACAAGGAGATAAAAGAGGTTCTCCTGGATCCCAACTACGCTCCTCTCATGCGAGAAGACCTGGAAGGACTCCCAGAGACTTACATCCTGACCGCCGAGTATGACATCTTGAGGGATGACGGCATCATGTACGCCAAGCGACTGGAGAAGGCCGGAGTGCCAGTTACTTGGAAGCACTACAAGAAGGGTTTTCACGCCTTGTTTGGCGATTTTTTCCCCACTGATGTGGGTAAGCAAAGCATTAATGATTTCCTGCAATTTGCACGGGAGAAACTGTAAGCGCACGACAGAAAAATGTGATTTATTTTGCTTTGATTTTCCTTTTTTTTGGTCAATAAGTATTTGGTAAATAAAACAGAGTACATGTACATCTAAAAAATAATTTGTGTGATTGTAAACAGTGCGAAGCATGAAGATGATGTAATGATTATCTAAATGATGTGAAATGATTCTGCAGTTTCCGCGGAAAAAAATCTGTAAGCGCATGAGTATTTCTGAAGCCTGAGTAAAAGGGTGCGTGAATATCGAAGTTTTCTAATGCATGCAATACATAAAAATACTCATTTGTGTCCATTTCACTTTATTTCCAAGCTCCGCGTTGCCATTTCAAGAGCGTGCCTGTGTAGCTTTATATGCTATGGATATTTTCCAAATTAATGAGCAAAACTCTGATGCCATTCAAGGCAGAAGCAGTTTCAGCACCAAAAGTCGCCAGAATGTTGGACTGTTGCTGTGGTACATTTTCTATTCTGTGTGATTCATAACAGTACGTCACTTAGCAAAACTTATACAAAAATGTTTACATTCATTTGGGTTTGTTTGGGGTTTTTTGGCTCACAATTTGAACAGAAATCTACCAACCTGTACACTTCTCAAAAATTTCTACAAAAAAAGGTTTTCTCAAAGTCGAGAAATATTTCAGAGGACTGGAAATTTGCTTAAAGTTTTGTTCGGTTGCTATTTATAAATCAATTATACATTTTCGATACAGCAAACAGTGTGACACATATTGCTGTAATTATTTTGAGTCGTGTTAACTACCATTTATGGAGGGCCTGTTTGTTTGGTTGATTGCATCAGTATAAAAAAAACGTAAATGCTTGTTTCAGCACATGCCTTAGACGTTTAAATAGTATAATCAATTTTCTTTGAGAACTTTTTTTAGATCTGACAGGCAAACAACCCGTTAAATGTATTAATTAAACTTGAAAATGTGTATTTAGTTTCATGACTTAAAATTCATTGATTGCACTTTTCCTTAAGTTTATACATTTCATTAACTTCATACATACAGTTTTTGTCAGCGCTTGTTTATTCAGGAGCTTGGCTAAATTAGGTTTGCAAAAATTCTTAGACAATGAACTGAAATTTAGAAATTAAAAAAAAAACAGGACAAAGCTGAAATAGTTTACATTTGCTTATTTTATTTATAAAACATGTTTGTGAGTAGTTCGTGTGTCGATATTATAATTCGGCGACAGTGATCATGTAACCTACAAGAAGAAAGTGCAACTGTGTCATGCAGCACAGCGGTGACCTTTTAAGGACTTATGAGATCACATCGGTTGGGCCAGTCACCGTCACGGAGAATGGACGATGAACGGTAGATTCAAGCTAAGGCCGAGTCCCTTATTACACGGGTCTTTTGTTCCGGGTTCTTAAAACAACAATCGTTGATGTTAATAAGATCCCTGGTTCGCCACAATCTCCACATTCTTTGAATAAGTGTAAACTCGTTCAACTAATAACTTTACCTGGCTCCATGCTTGCATCGTGGCAAGATCCCTTTGTTAACCATTCGGATGGGTGCACATCTTTTGTTCGATTCGCCACAAGCACATGCACTCTTGCTCAGAACAATTTGGAAATCGGTCATGGATAGTCACACACGCACATTCACAATCGCACAGTCGTGTTTTTCTATGCCCCCGAGGACAATGCTTTGTGTTTCCCCTTGTGTTTAGTGCTTACACACTGTCTTCCCTCATTCCCAAAGCCAAAGGGAGTCTGTACTTCCATGTTAACAGCTACGGGATATAACTGGATTCTGAAAACTATTAAATGCTATCTTTTACTGGATTGATCTGAGGAGATTTAACACCAACCACAAGAAAAATCTGGCAAGCTATATACGCATTCGTGCGTAGAGCTCTTTAATCGATGGAACCAGATGGCATTGCCCATTTAATCGAGAACCACGTTGTTTACCATGATACTAATGGAGTTCACATCTCGCTCACCACGGGCAACAATTTTGTTTGTAAAATACCTTACTTTGGAATACATTCTGGGAAGTATTGGTAAGTTCCATTTGAATTTTTTTAGTTATTCATCCATTCTCTTTCGGATTTGTTTATCTTTCTTTGCACAGGCCAGTAATTCAATAACAGAGGAAATAATGGTAAAACTAAAATGACATGGGTTCAGACTAGATGTCAACTTCAAGTTTTAACCGAGGGATCAAAGTTATTTTATAAGGCGAATTTAAAGAAAAACGATACACATTCAGTTTAAATTAAGAAATAGAAGTAGAAATAATCAACATAATAATTAGAAAACAAGACTGAAAATAAACTGAAAATAAACTTTAAAGAGAACTAAAAATAAACTTTAAAAAGAACATTTAGCATTGCACCATAAGTTTAAAAACTTAAATTGTCACAATACATTAGATTCGAAATACCAACGCGGTAAAATAAAAAAATCCGAAGAGAACATTTTGTGTACAGAAAATATAGAACAAAAACGTAAGCTGTTTATTAAAATCAGGTACATGTCAATTCTTTTTCAAGTACCGTTGACATTTTAAAGTGGACGCACAATAGTAAATGGGAAATTGCAGATACGCGCAATTTCCCCGGTGTTAACAAAAGCAATATTTAAGGAGAGAACAACAATTTGTTGTCTAAAATATTCTGTGTTTGTCCTGTTCGTCAACCGTCCTGCTGGCTTAAACTCAATTCCATGCATCAGTTAATTCATGAGTTAGGTTGTCTGCAAGGACTGTGTCGTTTCCGTGTAACAGTATTTGGGCAATGTTCTTTAAAATGTGATTGCAGATACGCACGTTTTTCACATCGTCCCTAGCCAGGGTATTCTTACGCTCTGACGTCGTATTATAGTACCCTAGCAAACCAAGTCCATATATATTTCATATTGTGCCCCTTCACCATCCCCCCCCCCCACCTTTCCAATGGGAAACTTTTGAGACTTTGGTGGCAGCAAACACACCGGTCCTTTTTCCTTTGTTTGCGTCATATTGAGCATGCGCGCTTCAGATTTAACATGACGTGAAAGGACCGGTATGTTTGCTGCCACCAACGTCTAAAAAAGCTCCCATTGCTGCGCGGTGCCCGGCGGGCGAACAAACCCGGCCAATTATACTAACTTGTAGTCAAGTCTAGCAGTGGCGTTAGAGTGACGAGTGAAACCGCCACAAACAAAAGTGTCGACTTTCAGAAATAATAAGACACCCAATATAGCAATGCAATTTATGATCTGTCTGTCCCTTCACGAACGCAGTATCGAGTCACCACTCTAACGTGCGATAAATTAGACAAAATAATTATCACCCAAATAAGTCATTCATCTTAGCGCGAATTAGAGCGCATTCTGAGATAATCATCCATATCACTAAAAAAGAACGTTCAACTTTATTTGTCCATCACGGAATCGGGAAACTACGCGAACTCGAATTTAAAAATTAAGCTCACTCAATATGAAATTACTAGCAAAAGACCATTCAAATTCAACCAAGCCTTGGGGCAGGAACGTGGTGAAAATGGATAATCATCAATGGGCAACTATTTTAATATATTTTAATTCAAAATAATACACCAATCCATCTCGGGATCGCCAACCATGGGGTGCGGACAAGAAATATGAGCCAACAGACTGGCCATGCTACAAGCTATACAGATTTTGTTTAGGTCACCTAGCCGCCATATTTTTTTAAGGGGGGGGGGGAGGAGCTGGATACAATCTGACTAACGGAGGCGCTGTTCAAAGACGACGATCTTGGACATGACTATATACTTGACTTTTCTGACAGTAGCCAACGGACATTTTTCCCGCAGGGCAACGACAAACGAAACGAATAATGGGGGTGTTGATACAACCCCAACTCCCTCCTCTAGTGACGCCCCTGTGTTCATTTATTTGAAAAGTCGCTGCGTTAAATTGGCCGCTTATTTGAAAAAAGGAAATCTGAAAACATGTTATTCCAGAAACATTCTTAGGAATAGTCAGGAATAGACATTTCACAATATGGACTTTACTTATGACATGGACACTAAGTATTAAGGTCAAACACATTAAGGTCAAACACCTTAATAGACATATACATGTTATTCATATACATATTTCAAAGAGCAACATTACGAAGGTGTTTGATCTTAATGCTTAATTTTCATGTGCTAAGCAAAGAGCATATTGTGAAAGTTCTATTTCTGAATCTGATGTTACAATTGTCCCCCAAAAAATAAACTTACAGCTAACTAATTTCATTTACAACTAATTTTCATTTATTAATTTAATTAATAGGCCACGTACAATTTTTTTAGATAAGTCCAAAGATTGGGCACATTTTATCGTAACGTTTTAAGTCACCAGAGACTAAATGTAACGACAACAACATGAAAACGAATGACAAGAAAACGAATTTGCTTTTTCAATTCAACGCTGATTGCTACACGAGACGAATTTGACAAATTAAGGACGCATCGGTATGCTGACAACTTGAATTATACTGGACCATAAATGAAATCTAGTGGTGACTTTCTGAAATAAAAATTGAGAATTGAGCTTGGCGATGTTCGGGGACGAAATTAAAGTATCGATATAGGGAATTCCTGTGATACAAGAGTTAAAATGACTGGGAAAACCTATTTAATTGTTAAACGGTTGTTTTCTTTTTGGTGTCAGAGCAGGGAAGGGTTGTCACACCCCCCCCCCCCCTTGCGCCTGATTCTTCTTCCAATAATCGAGACAGATGTTATCTTCTTAATGACACAAAACAATTACGTACGGTCTTGTTTCAGTAATAGTTTAATTAATTAGAAAGCTGATCAGTCTACGCGTAAGTAAAGAACAAAAAGAAATACTACAGCATATGGCTGATATTGTTTTTGATTATGCTATAGATGGCAGAACAAGCAAACAATCGTGTGTATCGCACGTGGATTAACTGAGCCACATGTCAGCGAGATATCGGTTTCAGCTTTCCAGTTGGTTCATAGTTAAGAATATGTATCGTTGAATGTTTTCGATTGGTCCATATCTACTGAAAGGGACGTTCGAGCTGCCGTTCATATAATTCAGTATAGACTAAGGCGAAGTAAAAAAAAAAAAAAAAAACGTTTCCTTTTTGGAGGCCGCCTGGATTTTTTTTATTATTTTTTTATTTTTGAAAAAAGCAGTAAAAAAAACACCGAAAAAGTCCACAAATTCATCGCAAAATAAATTGTAGACAAATACAAGTCTAAATGACACTGTAAATATGTTCAGTTCTCTTGTCCAACTTATCTTTCATTTTAAAAGTGTCTTTGAACAGTGGAAACACCAAAAATTGCAGGAAATTTTTAAATGGCGGCCATCTTGAAACAAATAAAAAATAAAAAATAAAAAGCCTCGTTCCTCCTTTTTTCGAAAACCCGGACGAGAAACATGTTGTTTTTTTATTCGGCCTAAGCAAGCCAGCGGGAAATCGATAAAAAGGACAATGAGCTTCTGACTGACACCACCGACTCGCGTGACACCGATCGACCTACAAGGCGTTTTTGCTCTCTCCCACCTGATTTGGTCAAAAGTTGTTACAGCATTTTCCTCACGATGTATCGTCTCTCGTGCTTGGTCCTAGCTTTTGGACTTGTCTCTGGGTTATCAACACTCCAAAAACGCGACTGTAAGTACTCTTTTTGTGTGTGTGTTTTTCTTGTTGCAGCCTTCTTGATAAAAAGGCAAACGAAAAACTTCTACATCTTGATTTCATTTTCAGCATTGTTAAATTCCTATCACAGGAAGAAAACCTGTTGAAAGTTATGTGGTTGGCTTGCATTCTTCCATTGCATGTAACAATGTTTAGTATAGGTTTTCCCGGCTATTCTAAACAATGTTTCGTTCAAATTCACCAACTCTAACATTCCATTTCGTCCACGAAAAATTTCACACGCTTTTACCAAGACCAATTTCGTCATTTACCAATCCATTTTAAAGTTTGGTCCCTCTCTCTAGTCACCGGGTCGAGAATATACGTCAGTACAGCTCAAATTCGTCTAAGCTGTTTTCGAATGGCAGCATTCAGGGATCGAATTCGTCTGATATAAGTCAATTAGACGAATTTTATTTCTGAATAACAAGGTTTGGCGTAGATGAGACGAAATCGAATGTACTCCGGAACGAAAACATTTGCTCATTGTTTGAATCTGTTTGCTCTGATTTTGAAATTGTCTGATAAAAGACAAAATTAAACATTGGAAGTGCACTAAATCGATGTTGATGGACGAGGTTCAATATTAGAAACGGTGAATTCGAACGATAAACGTTTTAAAATGGCCCGAAAAAAACTATAGTAAAATTGTAATAAGCTGACTTTGGATGAATGTTCGTATGAAATTACCAGCTAAATCTCTGTCATAAAAAAATTAATGTATAAAAATGCCAACGAATCGGACGAATTTCTTTCCTTTATCTCTTTATCCCTTGGATAACACAAAATGACTTGCATAGGATTTTCTCACAGTGTTGTAACGATGATAATCATTTGATACAAAACAATTTATATTATCTGAGTGTTTAAGTAAGCAAAACAAATTGGCTAATCCATTTCCTTTAAAACAGAAAAGTATCGAAGACAATTTACAATAATTATAGGGCCTAATTCATTTTGTCCCCTGATACGTATAGTCTCGTTTGGGTATGGATAATAAGGTTTACTCTGAAATTATGCGTTTTTCTGGTCCCAGAGGGCTGGACTTAAAGTTGAATAGAATATCGTGCGTTCTACAGGATGTCCTGAAAATAATGGTGCATATAAACCCAGCCATTTTCGCCAATTTACAACCGGAATTTACTGCAAAATGTTTACACGATCTTCCAGGTTACAGATTTTAGCTTGAGAATACCGTTTGTTTAATTAAGATTGTTTTCGTAAATCCAGAGATGTGTTTGAATAACCGCAAAGCCAAAAAACTTCTGTGCCACTTTTAGGAAGTGAGTGCTTCAAAGATCAGACAATGCCAGCATGGCTCTTTTGATAAGATTATCCAAATGGGTGTAAGACAAACATTCCATTCACACGACAATATAGGGTTTTGTTTTAATAGTACAGACAGGATCACTTCTTTAAAACTTCAATGAAAGAGTTCAAGTAAATATAAATAAATATTGCACACTCTGCTTAAAAATTTTATAATTACTAACAGTAAAGTGATTTGGTTTTAGACTAGGACTATACTGATTTTAACTGCTTCACAGAAAGTGGCACAAAATGGATTTCTTGGCTTTGCCGTTGTTCAAACATTTGTATTTACAAAAGCAATCTCCATGAAACAAACGGTATTCTGAAGCCAAATCTATTACCTTGAAGATGGTGTAAACATCCGCTGAAAATTTTGGTTGTAAATTAGCAAAAATGGAGGGGTTCATGTGCATCGTTTTTTTTTCAGGACGCCCTGTAGAATGTATAGCCTTTCGCCAAGCCCATCGTGGCTTAACTTGCCGGCATAGGACAAAGCGGCGAAGCCGCGCAGCGACTGGAGCAGGAGACCACATACGCGAGTGGCGAAGTCACGATGCCTTTTCCAACTTGTCAAGAATTTCTTTTCTTTATAATCTCACTTTTGCTACCCTGAAAGGGTAGCAAAATTCCAACCAATCATTAGCATTTTAGGGTGCGCATGGAATCTTACCCGCGCGCATAGGGATGCTGGCACAACATTTAAAAACAAGAAAATGCGAGTCTAGTTTTAATTCTTCACGTCCGCGAGATAATGACGGCGTAATTGTTCTTTCATTATGTTATTATGATTTTTCTTATAAAGTATTTCAAAAAATTACTTGAGTGAGTGAACTTATTCTTGTGTCTGAACTTATAGGCTGGTTATTTCCTTTTACGTTTTCCATAACTCACCCTTCTTTCAAAAATGGATGCAACTGGACAAAATCCGCATTGTGGTTAACCTTTCAGCAATCTACTTATTTGCATGAAAAATATATGAATAATTCAACAAAATCAAGTTAGAAAAGGCCTCGTGGCTTCGCCACTCGTGCGCGCTGAATTAGTCTTCACTCCAGTCGCTCGCATCTAGAACGATGCAGCTTTACTGGGCTTACCTTGTCTTTCTTTATCTCTAGGGTCCACCCATGGCATCTTTGACAACGTTGAGCTGCAATGCAGCCACGGTAGCCTGGCTGTGGCGCACGTAGGGATACTGCTTACTGACTACAGCCAACAATCATGCCTGGAATACATCAGTGATCCACAGCATATCACCGACGAGTTACGCAGGTACTGCGATATTCATGGGACCAAAGCAAGATGCACCTTCAAGCTGGCCGACATCCTTGGACATGAGCCTGACCCCGCATGCCTCGACAACTACGACGTCATCTCCATTTGCCAAACTTTTTAGGGTACATGGGAATGGATCCCACGAAATGAGTCTTAAAGACGAAGTTTTATCTTAATATCAGTTTTGAACATGCAGTACGAGAACAGCATTTGCTCTTCGTTTTACTGTATCACTCGTATTTAGGGTGGAAGGGTGTCTTTTTCTATTCAATTTCCATTTCGCGTATATTTCTGTTGAAAGGCCAGTTACTCAGAATTAGCTCTGGCGACTTGTTTCTCATTTTGTTGGATTATCATCACACACTTGCATGTACATGAACTTTATGAAGACATAATGTTTGAACAGCGCCCCCATTACAAGAAATTGCCCACCCTGTGCAAGACAGGAGCTTCCATTGTCAGTAAAAAAAACAAAGAAGGCGCATTCATTATTACGTTGTCATCGTAAGTTAATTTTGTGTTGTTATCCTCACCTTTCATAAAAAAAAAATCGCTAGCTGACTTAATTTGGAGCGTTCGACTTGATTCAATGCAACCCTTCAAAATGTACCTTTATGAACCATTTCATATTTATTTTAAATCTTCCAAATTTCTTCAAATTTGCACAAAATTATGTTCCAGTGGAAAAATTCAAGTCATGTCCCCTTAACATTCTTCGACCCAATCACACCAGGCCTGCGCTCTAACAGTTCATTGAAATCTTTGGTTTTATTTAAAGCTCATACCCAAATTGTTTTTGGGAGAGGCTTAGAAATGATTCGATATGAAATTATACATACAATAAAAGTTTTGAAGATTTGCAATAGAACCAATCATTACAGTACAAGATTATTTATTAAATTCGAACTTCTTTAATCCAGCAAATGTTGTTTCTACATGGAAGTCATTCTTTTAAACACTATCGTACCGTGTATGTAAGTGTGTTTTGTTTGTTACGTTAGCAACTGTCTAAAGCGCACCCGTTACTCCAATATTTTTATTCTTGCTGTGGAAGTATAGACTGAGAATCAGACATTCATGCTTGTAGAGCCACGGTCGAACGTCTTATAACATGTATATCCTAACATGCGAATGTTATGCGACTCTGTGCGCCAGCCAATCGGAGTCGACATAAGAAACTGTAACGTCATTTCGATTTTCGATCAAAAATGTGGACTAAGCTGTTGATTGCTCAATTTGGATGCCATGTTTTTGTAAACAACGGGTTGCCGAAGACCCAATATAGAAGGCGCCCGCTGAATGGTCAGAATCTCGGGGTGAAGACGCAGTCATGTTTTGCATATTTAATCACCGAATCTGCTCGCATGTCATAGACCCTATATGCAAGGGGTTGTTTCATTGACTAGCTGGGGGTCGCTCTAACCTTACCATGGAGCTATTAAACACACATACTCCTTGTGGAGCTGTGAGCAAAAGAGGTCCACAGGTTACAGGAAGCGTGAACGCTTTGTGGACTTGCACAAGTCCACACCCGGCCCGGGTCCCCCCCCCCCCCCCCCCCGAAAACAGGTTAAGAGGGAAATAACTGAAGAAGAACACTCAAGGAAATCATGATAAATAAATTGGGTTGAAAGAGTGTTCACAGCGCAAGTAAAATGGTGTTTTTCTCCGGTTTTTCTTAACTACACGAATTACGAATACAAAGGAATATCCACAGTGGGTATGTAAGGTAAGGCTGGTTGAGTATGTGTGTGTGGAGGGGGTGGGTAGTTGAGGCCAAGTGTCGTAGTCTTCCATGGGTACGGCCTTGCTATGAGTACGAGTACGAATACAAAAACACAATACATTTCATATTGAAATAAAATCAATAACACGTTCTCTATTAATGAAGTAAAAGTGTATTGCATGAGGGAGGGCACACTTCTTTTGTTGTTATTATTTTAATGGGCATTTTCATGTTTGTTTTACTGGACAGTCATTCATTCGACCAATGGGAATGCAAGAATTGTTTCTGTAAAATAAAAATGAAAAGAGGCTTCACTATCCAATACGCCCAGACAGACCTGAAATATTACGATTGGTCGAAAGTTCGCGGGGAGCTGAAATTATAATCACAAATGATAGAGGGCGCTCTGCATAATGCCACTTAATAGACCACAGATGGCAGCTGGTATACGCATACAGTCAACTCGACCGTTTACCAACTTGTTTCGACTCGAAACAAGTCGACCGTTTGCCAACTCGTCCGTTGTGCCAACTCGACCGTCCAAAAAAAAATAAATATAGGACGAAATAAGCTTCGTTTTATTATGTTTACTCTTCATGCTATTCATGTAATTATTTGTTTCGTCCTGTATATACTTATTCGTTTCGCAAAAAAAGACAGGCCCAAGGGCGTCTCCCACAATTTCAATGGAAATGGAATCGACTCCAATAACAGCTCCCCCATATTGTCCATCCATCCACCATCCCTTTTATTGTTCGATTCTTTATGCTTGGATTCGACCCCAACGATATTTTTTTTTATTCCTGCCATGCCCATGACTAACAGCGCCCTCATAGGTAGATATTATCCAGCCCCCGGCCCTCCCACCTATTTATTTTCCGGAAGCCGCGGGTGGTGGGTGTCCGGGCCCTGTCTGCATTTCATCAAGGATGGTCTGTCGACATATTTGTTGTTGCCCCTCCCCCGAAGTGGTCTAGCGACGCTCCCGCTGTTGCCCCCCCCCCTTCTTTTTATTTTACCTATATTCTTTTTTAACGTCTATAACCCCCCCCCCCCCCCACCCCCACCCCACCCCCAAAAAAGTTTTTTAAAACATCAAAATTACCTTGCCTGTACAATGTAGTTGGCCAACAAGGAAAGAATTCTCTTTGGTATCGTACGTGTATCAATGTGAAAAGCACATAGGACCTACATTGTAGGCCCCAAAAAAATACACGTAGCCTTCTTTGCGTGCAGTTCTTGATACTTGCCCTCCGCCGATCCCCCATAGAACTGAAATGTTGGCCAATTATGTTTGCTTTGCTCCTAAGTCAGAGCCCCACCAGCTGCCAAGTATGACACTCGCAAATCAGGACTGACGTCCGCTGGCAAGCATCCCAACCAACTCGGGTCTCGGGTCTAAAGAGCTCGCTGCAGGACCTGCTTATTTTAGCCACATGCGCCGCGGCTTTTTCAACAGGCATCCACTCAAGAAGGTGTAGGATGTTTGTTTTCATAAGGCATAATCCCAACAGAAGAGCGGTTTGACCAGAAGTGGAAATTGTTTTTAATTGTCGTAAGTGGGGGTACTTGGTGACGTGTTATGCGCAGTGAGAGGTACTGTGGGAGGGCTGTTATACTGTTTATCCGTCGAATGTCACTGTACACTTACAAAATCTCCAGCGATTTTCCAACAGTTTCCCCTGGGGTTGTGACCACAGGCTTGACAAAATATTGTAGGAATTTGTAGTTGAGGAATGCCGAAAATTGGAAGCCAGAAACATATTTGGAATGTTGAAATTAGGGGTTTGCCTTTGGGAATTAATTTCCGAGGATCTGTAGTCTTGTCTAGAAGTAAAGACCTCATTTTAAAGACCTCACTTTGGGTGAAGATGAATGATTAACAAAGTTGTGTAGGGGGAGTCAAAGTTACATGATGTAAGCAAGAGGATTTGCAGTGACTCAGTGCACTGGATTCGTATATGTATATGAGGTTTTAACCGAGTCAAAAATGCATGATTAGCCTAAAAAGAAACAAGTGAAGGAGGGAGAAGAGAGTCAACGATGCAACTGAAACATCATACCACCATTTTGGCCTTTGTGACTTCTGATTTGTTCATGTGGCTGGCCTATCATACAGGGAAATGATAAAACTGCTCGACCATGCCTTTAACAATAAAACAAACCTTCTTTATGCCTATATAACAAAATCAGATTTAAAAACAAAAAGTCTAATTTGGGGGTTCAGCTCAAAAATAGAACATTGAAGGTATGTTTAAGTAACAGGATGTTGCTTGAGACTTTGTTTTGAAATTTCTTACAATTTCTTTCTGGGGGGGGGGTTCTAAATTACGAACTGAAACGTAATAACTGAGGTGCTCCATATCCCAAGTTTCCAGTAAATTGCAAATCCTGTGTGTCTTGAAGATAAATTTTCACAGAAATCCTGACAGTTGTTTGCTTACCACTAACAAATTGCCCAGTTTTCTTATATTAAACATTAATTTGATTTAGAATGTGATCGAAATAATCATTTTGCCTCCAGTCACAGAAGCACGTTTATATTCCAGGGTATATAGTTTAGAAAACAAATCCTTGAAATAGCCTTAACTTTAGTACAACTTGGCATGTATTCTTTCCATGTTGACGTGAATCTAGTCCTAGCCCCTCTGGCACTTTGGCATCATGTCATCCAATTCTGCAACCCAATCACAGCTTCCTCAGAAGTTAGCAGGGGGCTAAGTGCCCCACAGCTAGAGAGAAATTGCATATTAAACACCTGCACAATCAGCTTGTTGATATAGTTGCATGGCTACATGGTTGGAGGATCAAGTGTCTAATATCGTTGCAGTTTGTTGGGCTTGCGAAATATTTCTGCCCGGCGGATAAGATTTTTAATAGAGCTTGCCTTTTACTAAAAATGTCGGTAGACTATGGAGCAAATTTTGGGCTCACAATTTGAACAGAAAGTTAAAAAATCCCTAAACTAAATTTTGTCTCCTGGAATTGGAAACGATATCACAGCAACACTGCCCTCGGAAAGCATGAAAATGATAAATGTTTAAAGAAGGCTACTTTTCAATAAAATTTACCAAAATCGGATGTCAAATAGTTTTCATACATTTAAGAGGGGTAGAAAGTTGCACAAAATGTGTTCCTAGGAAAAAATCATCACAATGACACAGCCCCCTTTAAGTTGCTGCGGCTGTGGAGGCCTCTATCAACAAGATGAATCAAATCCAGTGTTGGCAATATTGGCAGCGCTACCCAGGAAATCCGAGCATACCTCATGCGCGCTGTATTCAAACTGATGCATGCGCGTGAGGTATGCTTGAAATTTCATGGGAAGTACTGCCAATATTGCAAAGACTGGATTTGACTCATCTTGGTAGTGACCTCGCTTGCCACGGACCGGCCGTAAAAGGGGAATGAAATTTAGTCTTTGATTAAGAGTGTAGTCGCGCTCATGCTGCACTATGGCCTAGCATGGTGGTCTGGTGAGCTGTCACCTGTATAGTGTGGGGTCTAAGTGTTTTGACCCCTCACTCCGCGGGCTGTTTTGTGATCGGTAGGGCACTGTTGAATCCAAACATAGCAGGAGATACATGCTGGCTTTATTTTTATGCGAGAATTTTGTCCAGAGTTCTTTTTTTTTCCTGTTTCATTGCCACTTTGAGGTGGACATTGGATTGGAAATTGGTTTTGCTATCGGTGTTTTTTTTTTTTTTTTTTTTTTTTTTTTTTTTGGTGACGTAATGAAAGCACACACACACAATTCCTTTTCAAAATCGAGGGCAAGGATTTCTCACATTTGATTGGTGATGTTAACAAGTTGTGTTTCCATACATGATGATTTTGAGCATATTATTCCATAGGCTGAAATGCACGTATGCATTTGCTTTGTACACTGTTTGTCTAATATGCAAACCATTTGTTTTTACCAGAAAGTTAGAGGTAAGTGTGAAATATTTGTTTAACTTGTACTTACACTAACTTACACTAACATTTGCTCAATGGCAAAGTTCCAAATGGATGGTGGTGTGGATTTTGGGGACAAAAGCTTGCATTGAAGAATGTCTCCCAATGTCTTCCAGACAGCTACTGCAAAACCCTCCTTTTATCGCACACGGTTCATTCAACTGCTTCTGTTGTTGACTTGTGAGTGCCGCTGATCTGGTGGGCAGGATGTTTCCTTTCAACATCGCTCTCCAGAGATAAA